AAAGTTAATTACCTTAATCACAAATCTCCCGCATTTGGTCCATATTATGTGTCAGATGAATCCAATCAACACCCTCAAATTACGTTCCTTTAAGATCAATTTTTATGTCATTCTCCCATCTATGCCTAGGTCTATCAAGTGGTCTCTTCCCTTCGGTTTTCCAATTTAACTCCTGATTGCATTTCCCATATCTCCTGTGTCTACTCTTTCCATCTCATCCTCCATGATGTAGCGGCACTAATATTTCCCTGATGAAGGTTATGAAGCATGAAGCTGCTCCTTAGGCAGTTTTCTCCAGTCATCTCTCCGGATCTCAGACGTTCAACAGCTCTCGTTAGCACTTTTTTTCTGAACTTTTGCTCCAGATGCAGATACGGGATTTGCTTCACGCCCTTGCCGCTATATCCTCCGAGGAAACAGCCCCAAGAACCAAATCTATAAGAGACTGGGTGGGCCCCAGAGCTACTCTGGACGTTATAGGTATGAGAAAAATCTCTTTCCCTACCGACAATTGAACTGCGACTCCTCGGTTATCCAACCCATATCCTAAGCTCTGTACCTACTAAGCTACCCCATGATTAACATAATAAAAACCACCGGAAATGTACCTACCTACCTACCATTCGGCGCTACAGCCCTGGGTAAAATTTGGTCTCCTCTACAGCCGGTCTCCACAACCAATGCCTGCTGCCGAGGCTTGTTGTTAGGTTTCTGAACAAAATGTTTTTTACACGATGAGGTTGTTAGCCTCATGCCCAACCCGCAACCTGGAGGACCTGGGTATCTCTCTCAGTCTGGACTCTACCCTACCTTTCCGGCAAGGGTGACCCTATCGGTAGTTAAACTACCGCCAGCATAGCTCTCCAGGTCAGTCACGCAAGCCCCACCACGACAAGGTGGAGGCCGCCGGAAATGTATATTCAATTAAAATCCCTTGCACTAAATACCTGCAGGGTCGGAGCCAGAAAACGTGGCTTCTGAGGCACGCTGACGTAACCATCCGCTCCGGGGACTGCCTGCGGTCCCGGTGTGGCGCGTGGCAAAGGAAGTACATACGTACGGTCACGTTGAAGGTATCAGCAGTGCCATTAGCTGCCGTGTGAGTGGTTTAACGGCCATGGCACAGTGCGACCGCCTCGTGGAGCAATACCATTAATTCACCGCAGGCTTGTCACCTCAGTCGAACTGAATTCTGGGAACCACACCCGGAGCGGAAGTGCGAATCCTCTCCATTTGTAGTTCCTTAAAACCAAAATTGATGTAACGGAATATCCTCTTCCTGTGTCGTTTCGCAAAACCGAAATTGAGCCACTGTGTAAATAACTTAGATGCGCCATGGCTCAGACATTTTTTTTTTTCACTGGCTCTACAGCCCCCTTGGGCCCTGGTCTCTGATTTTTCAGTTTCATGATCATCTTGCAGATGGTAGGACTCCTTGGACAAGTGATCAGCTCGTCGCAAGGCCTCTACCTAAACAAAGGACAACATAAACACAGAATAAACGAATACACATACCAAATATCCATGCCTTGTATGGGATTTGAATCCACGATCCCGGCTTCCGAGCGACCGAAGACAGGTCGCTTTACAAAATCGAAACTCTGCCTCTAAGTACTTTAAGTAACTAAGTAGGACATCCCATAGCTTCCTTACCACGGCCACCCGGAGTTCGATTCACATAGGATTTGAGTGGAAAAATTGGCACAGGGGCAGGTTTCCTCCGAGTACTTCGATTTCCCCTACCAATTTTAATTCCAATACATACTCCGTTTGGGGAAGCGTGGTAGACTAGTTGGTTGAGGCACTACAACCTGGAATGTCGCGGTTTCGATTCCCGATGAGGTCATTGGATTTTCAATTTACCTACTTCCCAACAGCACTATGGCCCCGGGGTCGACTCAGCCTCTAACAGAAATGAGTACCAGGAATCTTCCTGGTGGTAAAGGGCGGCCGGCGCGTAAGGCCTCGACGTCTCACAACCGTATGGGCCTCAGCGGCCTATTACAGGGATACCTTTACCTTCTTCACATACACCGTTTCTCTCATCGTTTGTACAATGGGCCATATACAGCCTAAGTACCAAGGGCTCAGTCTCACCCCGCCCTTAGAATAAAAAGTAAGCACGAAGATTACTGTCTTATGGAATCTGACGCCCGAAGTTTACCAACGTTCCGTAAGAATACGTCGTATTCTGCTTGCATCTCCATCTACACTGAAGATGAAGGCTTCATGCCCCTCCGAAACGTCTGTAAACGTCTACCAAAATTATATACAGTCACATCCGATACGAGACTAATCTACATTATCAAGGCCGCGTCATAGCTCAGGCGGTTAGTCGCTGGCTTCCCACCGCGGCAGCCTGGGTTCGAGACCGTATCTGTTCATGTGGGATCTGTGTTGGACAAAGTAGCGCAAGTTTCAGAAGTTGACTCAGATGTATGTACCGAGCGAGAGTTAAATTTGGCTCTTATAATCGGCAAAAACATGCAACTTAAGCATGATTGTACTCGTATAACAGAACTGTTATCTGTATAGTTTAATCAGACGTTTCGGAGGACTTCTTTAAGGATTCTAAGCAAAGAGACCCTTAAAATTAATCACTAAAATCAAAATGGCGTGACAAAATTGAGTGCATATATCTATATTGAATGTGATTGAATAGTTCGGACTCTGTTGCTTGTGAGCGGACATGATAAAATGAATATGTAACTTCATGCCCCGCCTCCCATTTTCAAAATTCTCTCAAAAAATATCAGTAAAGCAATGTAACTCACATTTATTGGTCCACTGCTAATTGTAAGCATTATCATACGAGTATCTAGCTCTGGAGTGTTACGCAACGAGAGATCACTAAGACGTGTCTCTGTGAACGAAGCTTTTGGAAAGAGAAGAGTTCCTTCAGCATTAACCTTCGTATTGCAAAGTTATGTGCAATGTTTTCAAGGTAGCCAATAAAAGTAAGCAACCATAAAATCTTTATTACACATTTCAATGTCTCAGAACACATCAGAGGTTAACCAAACTAAGATGATGAACAGCCGCCGCGTATTAATTTGTCATTCTATGTCAATCGTTTTCATAAACGAACCTCTGTGGATCGAGTCATGGCAGTATATCATTTGAGCCTACAGCGAAGGAAATTCAGCTTTCGAATTAAGGAAAACCGATTTATGGCAGCACGAACATTAATTTTGTTATGGCGTTAAGTGTCACCACAAACATTTAAGTCTTATATAAGGCTTTTATGTTCTCTCGATGTATTTATAGTCACGAATAACCACTGTAATATATCAGCTGGTTTGAAATACACCATTACCGTCTCCATAAACATCACAGCTATATTGTAGGTCAAACTATACGCTGTACAGTTAAGGATTTCATGGAACAGAGTCCTTCTTGAGAAGCCAGGAGTGGCTCAGCTAGTTAAGAAATTCCCTGTCTGTTTGGGACCCAAATATTCGGTATTATGTTTACAAGAGCCCACCACTGGTCCCCAATAATAAGTGAAATTTCCCTTGGCTGGTGCTACAGGTCATGCGCCGCGTGATTTATTCAAAATGAGCAATGCATGTTTTTACTTATGAAGTTATAGTTTCCCAGTTATTGACTTACATTCCTTCTCTTTTCAATTTAATTAATAAAGGACGCAGTAATCGTACGCGTATTTTACGACTTTGAAAACTTTTTTGCTGCAATTCTCTTCGATTTAGAATTACGCCATTTTGTGTTACTTATCGATAGTAAACATGTAGAACATGTTTAATTACATTACATAAAAGTATATAACACGAACGAGGGAGCAGTCTTTCTGTCCAATGCATTGTTACTACTCTGTGAATGCTAGTAATATTTACTATATATATGTGTGAAGTTTTTTTTTTNACCGCTCGGCTACCGTGACCGGCATATATGTGAAGTATAACTGGTATTTATCGTGGAATGTGAATCAGTTTATAACAAATTCGGACATTTTTATTCGCAAAACAGGCACCTAGAAGAAGTACATATCGACCAGTTTCGTACAATCATGTTAAAGAGATTTAACCTGAAACCAAGATGCAAATCCGAATGCACGCTTGATGCATACATATTATGACAGCAACATATAAAATAAAAAAAAATTGCCTGCATCTCTGCTATTCCAATTCGTATTCTGTGCCCATCTCATCGCTCTTGATGTGGTGAATATTACAGACTATGCAGACCCCCGTTACAAAGCTCTCTCTAGCATCCTGTCACGTTCTCCCTCTTCGGTTCCAATATTTTCCTCAGCGCTATTTTCAAACATCACATACAAGATATTTGTGGTGACTGTGAAGATTACTGCCGATCACAGTGGCCGCGTGGTGTAAGGCATGAACTGTCTTCGCCCGCTACAACACTGGGATCGTGGGTTCAAATCCCACTCAAGGCATGGATGTCTGTATGCATTTATTCTGTGTTTGTGTTGTTCTGTGTGTAGGTAGCGGCCTTGATACGGGCTGATCCCCCGTCCAATGAGTCCTACCGACCGTGTATAGATTAAGAAACTGAAAAGCAGCTAAGGCCAAAAATTGGGCTGTAGATAGATAGATTGTTGTAGTCTGGTAAATGTTTACTGACCTAACATCCCAGAAGAGAGTAAGCCTCACTATCAACCCATATTCTCTTTAATATAAAACGACAAACCGTTACTAAATTTGCATATTTGTAGAACATAATTCAACTGTACCAAACCCCTCGCCTTGATCACGGTTATGTTAACGCGCTATGTAAACAATGTTGTGAAATATTGGGCATCTAGGAAACATTATGAAAAGTAAAATTCTGTTATTATACAATAAAACTGGTTTCAGTTATCTGTGAAACCTTATTTTAAAAGCTGTATACATCTTTGAAATTTAATATTAAATAAATATTTTCATTCTTGTTTTTAAAACAAAACCAGTTTGCAGGACCAAAGAAACGACATGCGTTTATTAAAGGCATTCTTTAGAAAGTAAATATTATTGTTTACTAACCTGCTTCAAAATCTTCAAAATTGTCCTTCAGCCTCCTCCACTGCCGTGCATGGTGGACGGTATACACACAGGCCACTACAAAAAACAGAAGACAGGCGAAAACTGCTAGAGCCAGAGCCACAGTCTGCCAGTCCCAAATGAGTTCTTCAGTGGCAGAAAATGGAGCTGATGAGACAGAGGATGGAGAACCGATTTTATGCAAATGTTTCGGCAGCACTCTTTGCTGTCCCTGTGCATCACTCTTTACCTCACCATTAAACGAAGAGTTGGTAATTATCTCAGTTTCCTTTAACTGAGAAGCTGACTCTGGGCGTTGCACTAAGATGTTATCAACTTCCTCCTGCAGGCTTTGAAGCTTCTCTTTCTTTCTGTGATGTTTGCGAGTTTCTGGTGTATCCATTTGTTTCTTATGAGCGTGAGAATGGTGACTGTGATGATGAGAAAGCTTCTTTGTGCTATTTGACTTCTTGGATGAGGATGTGTGATGCTCAGATGAACTGGCCGTCTCAGAGAATGACCAACGATGTCCACTCTCATTATGAAGGTGAGATGAACTGGAAGAATCCGGAGCGTTAAAAGTCTCAACTGAATCTGAAGATGCCCACTCAAACCTGTGGTGATGATGATGATTTTTAGTTTTATTTTGATTATGAGAATGTGTTTTTCGGGGATTTGAAGAACGTGTTTCCGACGTAGTAAATTTTTTATAAGAATGGTGATGATTGTGGTGCTTTTTAGGCGTTTCATCTATATAGTCACTAAATGTTTCTTCTGAAGACAACTTCTTGTGATGAGATTTCTTGTGGCTTCGTACCTCTGTTTCTTCAGAAGAAACAAATACAGGGTGTGAATTTCTGTTTCTGTGGTTTGGAAAAGTTTTAATGTCCTGTGAAGAATCCGCCTCACTTCGGCGTCGGTTACCACCGGTATATTTCTTTGATAAATGCTGACGGTGTAAACTGCTGGCTGATTTTGTTGGCCGTGGCCTGCCCAGGAATGACCAGTCAATATCGAGGTCTGACAACCGTCCGCATTGGGTGTCCTCATGTACCTGGCATGGTCGTATGACTATATGCCCAACTTTTGGACATGTACTGCAATTTATACATTTCTCTAAAGTTTCATCCCAAAACTGGTGTCCTGGACGACACAGTATGGCGGCGCTCAACGGAAGCAGTAGCAACCACCACACCATTACCTGCACAAGAGAATTCTTCAGATAACACAAAACAGGTTCTGGAAGTGTATCCGTTTATGTAGATGTTTGATTCAAAAGATGAATAAAAGAAATATTTATCAATTACTAGAATATGTAATATTCACGTTCTACTGAAAGTCTGTATATTTCTGCAGTCTAATATTTTTCCTGTGATATGAAGATAGTAATCTATTTATAAGAATGTGAGATAAATATTATACAAAACTTTTTCAAACCTGCAAGATTTCAGCAGCCATTAACTCTACTTTGAAGCGACCGCATAGGTAATGATATTTTTTAAGATTAAAGATATCTACAGCACAGATACAAATAACTGAACGATATGTAACATTTGAGGCTTTCACGGCGGTGACTATGAAGAAAGCAGTCTTCTGGGATTTGGCACCGTGTATATGTGGTGTTAACCGACGTTTCGGAGGAACGTAGGGAGGCGATACGTTCCTCCGAAACGTCGGTTAACACCACATATACACGGTGCCAAATCCCAGAAGACTGCTTTCTTCAACTGAACGATAGTTTGTGATTTATAAAGTTATTTAACAAAGCTGAACACACATATCCAGCAATAGAACGCACGCAGTCACAAGGGAAGGACACAACACAGAACACAATATACACAAGAATATAGGAAGAGTACTCCCATAGGAGAGGATTGACGTAACTCGCGAATTTGAAGTGCGACGTATAGATATTTTAATCATTTTATAAAGGAGACATGATGGCATACAATGCAATGGCTTGACGTAAATAAAAACACCTGATGATGGCACATTAGTGCCGAAACATGTAGTGAAGAGAAAAGTGAAATTGTGTGCACTGTAAGACAGTTGGTACAAATACACATCATGAACGTGAATCAGTGCAACAGGACGCTAAAATATAACATTAAGCTGACTAAACTGCATATTTAAAGAGTTATATATTCTGGAATATAACGCAGTTTAGTCCGTTGAAAGTCAACCGACATTGCGTAGGAACATGTCACCTCCACCTTCAGACTCGAAGGATAAGCCATGACAAGAACCCAGAGCGAAGCAGGCAGCAATCAGATCTCTACTACATGGCTACAGGCCTTACACGCCAGAAGATAAAACTGTTCCTAACCACATCTGTGAGAACCTGAAATCCTACAACTGAGGAAGTAATTTTGTGCCTAATGAAATGATAGATATTTATGCATGTTGAAGCTATAAGGATTAGGGGGTCAAACGGTAACGTGTATTTCAATACACTATCCCGAATTTCGCTATGAGAGACTAAACAAACCCAAGAAAAAGCCTCGATCAAGGGCAGCTGGGCGCTGCAGCCAATCTTACGACAGTGTACATCTCAAATATAAGTCAGGGGATTTACCGCTTGAGCTAACATGTTACGTACCGAGCTTCCGTCTTACAATCACAAAGTGCTCTGTTCAAATCCTGGCAATGAAACCACTTCTTTTACTAAGTTTAAAGTCCCTCAGCGGAAATGTCGTTATAATGTCCTTAAAAGTATTTCATGACCATCTTACCTTCCAAATACCAAATTTACCAAACAGGATCGGGGGGGCACGCGGTAGCGTATTTGGTTGAGGCACTATTCTATAAGCCGGAAAGTCGCGGGATCGAATCCAGATGAGGTGGATGTTTTTTTTTTCACTTGACCTAATCATTCCAGCTGAGGTCGACTCAGCATCTAACAGAATGAGTACCAGGAATATTCTTGGGGGTAAAATGCGGCCAAGGCGTAGGGCCGACAACCTTACCGCCATCTATGAGCCGATTGTCTAGAAAATGTGGGGACCTCAACATCTCACAACCCTATGGGCCTCCACGGGCTGTGGCAGGGATACTTTTACTTTACCATCCAGAATCATTGTTATGCATCGATTACCCTGGAGAGTTAATAAAGAGTCTGATAGGGACGAAAGTAATATTGCAAAGCTGTACTGTGTCAGTCACGTATTCTTGGTAAAAGAACGCAAACACTTGGTGCAAGATGACATCAAGCAGCAAATATGCAAGTCATACTTCGTGCTTCATACAGAACGCCATACTTATTGTAAGTATGCTTACTGTTAAGTGGGTCAACACTGCAATATGCTACTGACGTCAGAGCTTTCTCTGAGCGACGGTCACCTGAGCATTGTGATAGCAGGGAGGCCGAAGTAAAGTGAAGTTTATGTTCGAGCATTTTCTGTTACTGAACGGGGATATTCAACAACTACGAGTATAAGGGAAATAAAATAAAATATAAAGAATAAGAAATAAAAGGGATTAACCATAATCATATATTTGAACTGGGTGTTTTTAGTTTGATTTCTTCAATTTGAGAAATTGAGATAGGTTTAGGCGTTCTCCATGCTGCCTGTGTTTGGTTATCCCCCCTATCGGCTGAACCGATCTTTATGGAACTTGGTATGTGTATCACGGCACCTGAGTCCAACTCAACGGCGTATTTCACAAGTCCCTCCCATCAGTCTGTGTCTAGACGTGTATCCTCCTATCGCTGCTTGGCAACGGCTCGGTGAAAACGTTCCCGCGCAATGAATACACAATAATAGAATTGTTGGACGGGCCGTCTTCTATGCGGTCCGTGTCGTATCAAGGAAAGTAGATGACTAATTCTCCATAGAACCTCTTATTTAGACTGTGGTAATAAACGGAGTAAACGGGTAAAGCTATCCCTGTAACAGGCCGTGGAGGCCCATAGAGTATGAGATGTTGAGGTTCCCACATTTTCTAGACAGTCGGCTCACAGATGGCGGTAAGGTTGTCAGTCTTATACACCGGCCGCCTTTTACCCCCCCCCCGAAGATTCCTGGTATNATTTCTGTTAGAAGCCGAGTCGATCGCAGGGCCATAGTGCGGCTGGAAGGATTAGGTAAATTGAAAAACAAAATCCGTCTCATCGGGGCTCGAACTCGCTACCTTCCATCTTGTATAGCATAGTGCTCCAACCAACTGCACTACCGCGTACATATAATAAGGTAAAGTTGTCCCTGTACTTAACTAATTAATCACTACACCATGAAGACGTATGGGGGAGTGGATGTATAGGCCCACGTTTTCTTGACCTCGGCACTAGTTAGAGGTGAATGGTCAGCTTCAACTGCCGCTTTACACCGGGGAAAAAGCCTCCGGTACCCATTGAAGAGGAGATTGGGTAGACCCCAGTGAAAATTCTTGACTCCAGCGGTACTCGAACTCCGACCTCTCGGTCGTCCAGCCCGTAGCCAGTTGCTATACCGACTGCGCTATCCTGGCTCCCTATACAGATAATATATTTTTCGGAAATGTAGCTAAAGGCCACATATTTTGGAACGACGCTATTAAATTGAAACTGCATTTGTGAAGAAACTAGGAACTGGTTAAACTGTGTGAAAGCTTACTACCATCCAGTTCGGAATCTCTCATCCCCTCACCTCCCGTCTAAAAGCGTAATATTTAAATACGAATAACTACAATTTTATCTGTAGTTTTGTATGGGTGTGAAACATGATTTCTAGCAATAACGGAGAACATAGGCTGAGGGCGTCTGAGAGAAAGGTGCTGAGAATATTTGTACTTGAAAGAGAGATGAAATTATAGGAGGTCGGAGAAAGTTAGATAGTGAGGAGCTACATAACATTTAGAATTAACTATTTTTGGAGGATGCGATGAGAAGGGCGTGTAGCATGAATTGTAGAGACCAGAAATGTATACAAAGTTTTGCTTGGCAAACATGAAGGAGAGAACCATTTGGAAGACTTCTATGGGAGGATAACATTAAAGTGGATCTAAGAGAAATAGAATATGAAGTCGTGGACTGCATTTGTATGGTTCAGAAGATGCACCAGTGGTGGGCTATTGTGACTATGGTAATGAAACTTCGGGTCCCATAAAATGCTGGCATTTTGGGGTGGGGGTCGATTTGAGGGTGATGACTGAGAAACTATTCACTATTCAAGAAGGGCTCATCTCCAGTGAAATAATTAAATGACAGGAGACGACAGAGAGACTGTTGTTGTCAGATAAATTTACTGGTAAATTTAAATGTAACTGCAACCAGGGCATGTGCACTCATAATCTCTCCCAGCATTATTACAATATTTTACAGGCTGTTCTCGTATGGTTCGCTGGCGGACTGAAATCACGGAGTTCTCGTCTGGTTCGCTTGCGGAATGAAATCACGGAGTTCTCGTCTGGTTCGCTTGCGGAATGAAATCACGGAGTTCTGGTCTGGTTCGCTTGCGGAATGAAATCACGGAGTTCTCGTCTGGCATTCGTAACATTAGTATAAAAATTGCAGGTTAATACCGCCATCCTATTGGCTGGCAACACTCCATAAAAGAATAACGGCTCGAAAAGGTGTGCCTCCTAACTTAGGACTCTCACTGCGCTCCTGAAAATCGCACTGCAGAGCGAATGTTCGTTTCCCATGGACTTAACGTGTTATAAATTCAGAAAAGTTGTATGGCCTTTGGGGAAAAAAGTGCTAAAACCCACGTTAACGTACACAATTACAATTACTTAATAAGCATCCAAATAACATTTGTACGCACAAATTTCAAGCGTTCAAAATGGCGTCGACAGTGTGAACACGGATAAGTTCCGTCATTCAACTGAACACACGCAGGAAAATAGACCCGGAGCGCTGAAAACAACTCGAATATCAGATGTCTAGGGTATGATATCGATTGTCGATTTCGAGATATCGTTGTCGAGAACGGCCTATATAGAGAGAACTAGAACTAGAATTTTGTCTAGGGGTTACTAACACGTGACTTAACATTTGACTGAACATATCTAAAATACACGCAGCGTAGAGCGGTTGAGGACCTCGTATCATGAGAACAGAAGACATGACGCAGTATGAATACGAAAATTAACGGCCATGGACCACCACGCTCGCCATATTAGGAGACGTGTTTGGTGAATGCGAAATTTATAATGGTCCACGTGAAGTGCGTTGTCTATCAATATAGATGCCATATGGGCCTACCACGTGCGATAAAACTTAAATATTATTGCTATAGAGTGATGGACTAGACGCAAGGCTTCTTAAACGTTAATGATATTTTATGAAAAGAAAACACCTTGACATATTCCGTCAAATTTCGAAGCTTTGGTGGAAGTTTCGTAAAGGAATCTTTAAGATGAACTGTTGTAGTGTAGGAGATAATATCCATTTACTAACTCCTCTTCTCTTTTCATACTGAGAAAATGGCGATATCACAGTAGCAGTTCCTGTAAATGCCAGTACGAAACTTGAGGAGAAGACAAATTTTATTGCTTAAGTTTAGAAGTTTATGACTCAGCTTCTTACAATTTTCAGTCTTCAGTATTATTTTTTTTATTATTATTTCTAGTGGGGTGAGACTAAGTCCCTTGTACGGCGGCCACTTCTGGCCTATTGTACCAGCCCCAGATGATAGGTGAGGGTGATTGTGGAGCAATTGGTGGAATGAAGATTGGCAGGGGAAACCGAAGTACTCGGAGAAAACCCACCCCAGCGCCACTTTGTCCACCACAAATCCCACATGCCCAGACCCGGGATCGAACCCGGGCCGCCGCGGTGGGAAGCTAGCGACTAACCGCTTGAGCTATGGAGCGGCCCTCAGTCTCCAGTAACTAGTGTAGCTGTGATAACTTCACACAAATTGTGTAAGAAATTCAGAGACTTGTCAAGATAATAGTCGGTGGACTGCACAACGGCAAAAGTATTTTCTATTAATGGAACCCTAATAGAAATGGGACAATTATTACACGCAGTATAATAATGGAATTCTTTCTCTGTGTTCTATGTTGAAGGTCAGAATTATATTCACGATGAGCGGGGTCCTAGTCCTTCAAGTGTCCCAAAGATTGGTCGTAACAGGTTAATTCTGAGGCTACATGGGCCAAATGTTAATAAAATACTGGCATTAGATTAATTAATTACGGATCACAACAAAATAGTGGAGAATAACGTAAAGTATGGGTTATAATTTCCCAACCAGAGATTAGTTCTTACTTACTTACTCATGGAGCTGAGCCCTTCTGGAGGAGCCGCCAATTCTGCAGCTACTCAAGAATTTCCCAGCATTTTATGGAACCCGAAGGTTCATTACCGTGTTCACAAGAGCCCTCCACTGGTCCCTATCCTGAGCCAGATTAATCCAATCAATACCATCCCATCCTATCTCTCTAAGATCCATAATAGTGTCCACCCACCTACGTCTTGTTCTTCCCAGTGGTCTCTTTCCTCCTGGCTTTCCCATCAATATACTATACGCATTCCTCGTCTCCCCAATTCGTGCTACATGCCCTGCCCACCTCATCCTCCTCGACTTGATCATTCTAATTATACTTGGAGAAGAGTACAAGTTATGAAGCTCCTCATTATGCAGTTTTCTCCAACCTCCTGGAGATTAGTTCTAGGAGTCATATTTAATATACCTTCCAGACTGAAAGACGGAATGCAGTTTATAAAGGAAATGAACTTAACGAGCCATATATATTATACATGTATTGAATTCTAACTTCGGGATCATAAGACATTTTATTTTAATATATCTGATAACATTTTACTGCAGAACAAGGAACTTCTCTATGGATGTTATGCATGCTGCATTTATAAGTACAGGCCTGTGCTAGAGATGTATATTACAGATTTGAGTACTTTTTTAACATATTCGTTTCAGATGTAGAGACACTATATTATTAGTCGGCGTATAGAATAAAAGACATGGCAAACGTTAAGATGAAACTGAAGGTAAAGTTAAGGCTGTCCCATTGCTTAATTAAGCAGCATACCGTGATGATGAGCAAGAAGCGGAGGTAGCCTACTCATCCATGCATTTTTAATTTCGGCAACAGATTAACATGAATAGCGTATGTTATCCTAATGAGGAGCTCCATAACTTGTACTCTTCTCCAAGTATAATTAGAATGATCAAGTCAAGGAGGATGAGGTGGGCAGGTCATGTAGCACGAATGGGATAGACGAGGAATGCGTATAGGATATTGGTGGGAAAGCCAGAAGGAAAGAGACCAAAGGGAAGACCAAGGCGTAGATGGGTGGACAATATTAGAATGGATCTTAGAGAGATCGGATGGGATGGTATGGATTGGACAGATCTGGCTCAGGATATGGACCAGTGGAGGGCTCTTGTGAACACGGTAATGAACCTTCGGGTCCCATAAAATACTGGGAAATTCTTGAGTAGCTGCAGAATTGGCGGCTCCTCCAGAAGGGCTCAGCTCCATGAGTAAGTAAGTAAGTGAGTAAGTGTACGTTATCCTCCAGGAGATTCCCCCTTCCCCAGGAAAATAACGCCCGTTACCCATTCGATAGAAGGCAGACTGGGCCCCAGATTTTGTCTTGATGCTGTAGCGAAGAGAACCCCCTTCTTCTGCCGGAAATCTAGGTGTAGAGGGGCTGTAAAGCTATTTACGTTCCTGCTGTCACCGCACAACCTGACAGAGGCCTCCAATAATACGTAACTATACAGGAACCCTCTATAGCGAACTGTAGGTGTAGAGAGGCTGTAAAGCTATTTAGGTTCCTGCTGTCACCGAACAGCCTGGTAGGAACCTCCAACAATGCGCAAAACTGAAATTTTCGTGACTTTATAGGAAATTCTTTTAGTTGACTGTAGGTGTAGAGAGGCTGTAAAGCTATTTAGGTTCCTGATATCACCGTACAGCCTGATAGGGACCAGTACCATTGTGCAGAACTGCACTTTTCGTGACTGTACAGGAACATTTTATAGCTTACTGTAGGTGTAGAGAGGCTGTAAAGCTATTTAGGTTCCTACTCTCACGGTACAGACTGATAGGAACCTGCAACAATGCGCAGAACTGCACTCTTCACTGACTAGCTGAGGTGGGACGGAGGGAAATAGCATATATTTATGTATTATTTTAGGGGGTCGTGGTATCACAATGTTTCAGAATCCCTGCTTTATGCAGTATGGAGGTCGCTGAATGAGTGCCCCTACAGCCAGGTCTAGCGCGACAGCGAAGGCCAATCAACCTGCTATCCTCTGGTGCCACATCTTAGCAGCGACACATAAACACATTTCCTTCTTTCGAATTAAAAGAAATTTCTGCTGCTGCTTGATTCATATCGTGCCCAACAACTGCCAGCATGTTACGCAATAACTGCACCAGTAACGGTTTTTGTCACAGTGTATGGAAGTTTCGTGGTTTTGTGACTAAGTTTCGACAATGTTAGGGGGGACATTCTCGTCCCTTGGGGTGACATTTCGGCTTGTGCCTTCCCTGTATACAGTCCGCACAAATGCTGAACATTACCTAGGCAACTTAAAATTACGTCATTGCATAATCCGTCTGTATTGTTCCTAATAGTAAAACTGCAGGTTTTTAGTATTCGAATATCAGAGAGAATCAAATACCCCATTCTTGATTTATCAGCTGGATTCCAGCACGGTTGGGCGGAGTGACAACTCGACACATTAGTATATGAAACCCGAGTGACAAGTGACTAAGCAGACTTCCTAATCTTGTCCTTAATTAAGCTCCAGAATATGAAGGCGTATGAGAGCATAGGTTTATCTCCAACGTTTTTAACCTCAACATTGGATGGAGGGGAGTGACCCGTCTTAGTCCTAGAGAAACATTTCTTGGACACGGTGATTGTGTGGGCCCCAGAACCAATATGGACGAGATGCCTACAGCCGAACCCCGGCCATTAATTGTAGATTAAAAAAAAAAAAAGCAAATTCCGCGGCCTGTAGTCTGATAGCGATCTATACCGACCGAGCGACCGCCGTTTGTCGGCGAAGTTAGTGCCAACTTTAGCGGATAGAGGGTGTCGCATGGTCAGAGCAACGGACCCCCATGGCAGTTAATCTCGGTTCTCTAAACCGGAACCGCTATTTCCTTGAAACAGCTCCTCAGTTATCCTGACGAGGCTGAGTGAACCCGGTTCCAGACCCACTAGTTCTCAGAAAATCTGGTAGCGCCGGGAATAATCGAACCCGGGATCTCTGGATGTAGCCAGAAACTCTGACCACTAGACCACAGAGGCCATCTAATTCTGTACACTCAGATCACAAAATTATAAATGTAAAGGTAAAGTTGTCCTTGTACTTAGCTAATTAAGCAATACTCAATTAAGACGTATGGGGGAGTGGATGTATAGATCCAATTTTTATTGACCTCAGCACTAGCTAGAGGTGAGTGGTCATCTTCACGCCTCAGCCGCTTTAACCCCAGGTAAAGAGCCCCCGGTATCCTTTGCACAGGAAGCTAGGTGCGTCCCAGAGCTTGTCTGGACGCGGAGAAGAGAAAATTCTTGACCCTATGAGAACTCGAACTCATACCCCTCTGTCATCCAGCCCGTAGCCACAAAGTTATTTAAAATATAAGTGCTGGTTCAAGGCAATGGCCCATGTGAGAACCTTACAGATTCGCGAGACACGCCGGTCTCAACGAAATTCTTTAGTCTCGTATTCTAGAGGTGCTTGCTTCGAATCTCGGTCGGGACACCAGCTATCCTGACATTTTTCATTGCATTCCTTACTTCTTCCAGACAAATACCGGGATATTGTCTCGATTTAGGCCATAACCGTTGCGTTCCAAGTCCTTTTCAATTCGTCAGTCGTTCTACCATCCGATTCTATACAGCCTAGTTACTGGGAGCGCCGTTAAACAACCTCTCAAAGGTACTGTTACATGTGTCGACTTTTATCCCTCTCGCTTTAGAATAACCACGTTAATTCCGATGATGTTCTTACAAAACTCGAGATTTTTTAGATAATTTAATTTGAATTAGATCCTGTTCATAAATCCTCACGTTATGCTTCTCCCTCAGAAATTTGTTGGTAAATAATACCGCATTAGACTGCTGCGGCCACTCACCTTTCCACTTATAAAAACTGAAAACATTCGTACCTTAGAAGGATGTGAAATCCGCTCTGTAATCATCTTCATTAAAAGAATAGCAATTACTGAAATTAGCCACACGGTACATGGGGGATCCTATAGAGGAAAGTTGGGTTCACGAACAAACAAAAGCTGATCGTTGCGTGTAAAATTCGCACATTTATTGCTACATTCACTGGATACGGTATATACGTCACGACACCAACTCAAGAACTGACTTCACTCGCTGTAGCCAACACTTTCCTTCGGCTGATGACCAACTCGTTTGAGAACACGGCAAAGAGCTTCAACCATAAAGATAACAACTCATACCTTCGATGTTATTCACGCTACAGTCAAAGCCCTACAATATTGTTTCGATATTTATGGAGCAAATCTGTAATATTTCCTGCTCTAGAGTCCTTTGTTGGGACCTTGGCTATTTTTCAGTTTAGTTCGTTGAGGCACTATGCTACAAGCCGGAAGGTTGCGGGTTCAAGTCCCGATGAGGTCATTGGATTTTTTTCAATTGACCTAATCCTTCCGGCCGCACTATGGTTCTGAGGTTGACTCAGCCTCTAACAGAAATGAACACCAGGAATTAATTAAATAATTTTCCTGGGGAGTAAAGCGCGGCCGGGCATGTACTGTCTTCGCTCGCTTGGAAACCGGGATCGTGGGTTCGAATCCCACTCAGGGCATGGATGTTTAGTTTGTGTGTGTGCGTTTTTCTGTGTTTGTGTACAGGTAGAGGCCTTGCGACGAGCTGATCACCCGCCCAAGGAGTCCTACCGAATGTGTAAGATCTAGAAAAACCGAAGTGAACAGAGAAGTTCATGGAAGTAGGCCAAGGCCCACTGGGGCTGTAGTGCTAAGGGGGGAAAAAAAAAGCGCGGCCGGCGCGTAAGGATGACAACCTCACCACCATCTGTGAGCCGATTATCTAGATAATGTGGGATCCTCAACGTCTCACAACCCTATGGGCCTTCACGGCCTGTTTATTTATTTATTTTTTTTTTACTTTTAATCCTACATACAGTCGGCAGGAATTCTTGGACGGGGGATCAGCCCATCGCAAGGCCGCTACCTACACACAGAACAACACAAACACAGAATAAACGCTCACACAGATATCCATGCCTTGAGTGAGATTCGAACCCACGATCCCAGCTTTCGAGCGAGTGAAGACTGTTCATGCCTTAGACCGCACGGCCGCTGTGATCGGCAACATTAGGTTATTAGGACAATTAAGTCAAGGTGGATGAGATGGGGTGAATATGTAGCATACATCACAGATATTAGAAATGTATAACAAATTGTAGTCGGAAATCCTGAACGGAGAGGCAACTATAAAACCAGTGCGTAGATGGGAGGATAACATAAAAAAGGATCTTCAAGGAATAAGGCATAAGCGTTTGAATCATGGACCAGTAACAGGCTCTTGTCAATAAGGTGATGAATCTTTGGATTACTGAAAGGCAGATAATTTCTTGACTACGAGAGCTGCTCTGAGCTTCAGTTTTGTTTAATCTTCTGCTTAAATGGTATCAGTGTCCTAAATTAACAGAGGGTATACAGTTCTTTCCAACGTAGACTGTTCAGTGTAAGAGACTAGATGCGTCTCAGGGAGTCTCTTACTAGCGTCATCCTTCCCTTAACGAGATTCATCCCTTTCGCACTAATGAGACGATTGGTGGGGGGGGGGGACAACAGAAACTTGACTTGGCGCAATTTCAGATCAACTTTTATGTTTATACAACATTTGTTGAGGGGAACGCGGTAGCGTAGTTGGCTAAAGCACTGTGCTAGAAGCCGGGAAGTAGTTGGTTCGATTCCCGATGAGGTCATTTGATTTTTCAATTAACCTAATCCTTTCAGCCGCGCTATGACCCTGGTGTTGACTCAGCCTCTAACAGAAATTAGTACCAGGAATCTTAGTGGGTTACAGGGCGGCCGGAGCGTAAGGGTGACAACCTCACCGCCATCTGTGGCCCGATTGTCTAGAAAAACGTGGGGAGCCTCGACGTCGCACAACCCTATGGACCTCCACGGCCTGTTACCTTTAGAAATTTGCAAGATCTGTTGTTGCATTGACAGTAGAGCACATAATTATTTTATTCTGATAAGGATTTCAGGCTGGGAGCCGGGAGAGCACAGTCCTGGCTACGAGTTGGACGGCAGAAGAGTCGGAATTCGAGTCCCAGTAGGGGAAAATTTTTTCTCCTCTCCGCGTCGTCCAGAGCGTTTCTGGGGCTCATCCTGCATTCTATCAAATGAGTATCCGGGACTCTTTCCCCGGATCTAAAGCGGCTGGGGAGTGAGCCTCCCCCATGCGTGGGTAACTTTATCTTTTTGTTACATGAGGTTAAGGCCGCGCCATAGCTCAAGCGGTTAGTCGCTGGCTTCCCACCGCGGCGGCCCAGGTTCGATCCCGGGTATGGTCAAGTGGGATTTGTGGTGGACAAAGTGGCGCTGGGGCAGGTTTTCTCCGAGTACTTCGATTTCCCCTGCCAATCTTCATTCCACCAATTGCTCCACAATCACCCTCACCTATTATCTGGGGCTGGTACAATAGGCCAGAAGTGGCCGCAGTACAAGGGACTTAGTCCCACCCCACTAGCAATAAAAAAATAATACATGAGGTTAAGCACGATTGTCTTACTGTTTCTCCCGTCTCTCTATATGATCCAGCCGGATATTCTTGGACGTGTTAGTCCTCTTTGACACAGTGCTTCAATCTTCGGTCCCGAGTTCTGGATTTCTACATCATACACATAAGCTGACCACTCACCTCCAACAAGATACAATATCAAATAACTCTCTGTGGGAGATCACAAAACAAGAACAAATTGACATGCAAATTAAAGAGATAAAATGCAGGTGGAACGGACACACTTTAAGAAAACCAGCTGGTGCCATAGAAAAGGATGCAGTAGATTGGAACCCCCAAGGTGCTACAAGAGGAGGGCGACCAAGGAAAACTTGGAGGACAATAGAAGAAGTAACAGGTATGGGAAAGACCTGGAGAGAGGTTACGGCATTGGAAAATCAGAGGAAAAGATGGAGAAGCTTCACAGGAGCCTTATATTCTACTCGGAACTAAAGGAATTAAGTCAAGTCAATCATAAGGGTTGACAAATGAACACAGTTACGTTCTTCTAGCTCAAACTGGATACGTTACGTGTTCTTTATCGTTTTAAAATTTTTACTGGCCCGTATGCAGACTGCTGTACTAAAATCCTTTAATACAGCATTTATTGCTTTCTCTACAGAACTTCCAGTTTACACTCTGACAGGTCTGTTTTTTTAATTTATATTGGATACCTTAAAGGGAGAAACACTTTGATTTTGCGAGGTTCATATAGCCACAGACACTGACACGCTTCTAAACGAACGAACGAAACGTCGGTAATCACCAATAAGACTCCTCAACGTCACAACCCAGAATATCAGAATCCTAGGATTTTTGTTTATTCGGATTTATTTACGTAACATTTTTCTACAGAAGATCAAGATGTGGGGGGAGAGTCTTATAGAAACATTTGTGCTATCTTTCTTTATAAGATGTTTGTTTTTACCTGTTGCTTCTGTGATTTTGACTGGGTTGAATGAAGAGTATACATCCCTCTCTCGTCCTTCCATTCCGCCTTGATGACGCCCTCAAAGAATATCCCCCCCCCAAAAGAAAACAAAGTTAGTGGTATCCACCTCATCTGTTGTTACCAGTAGTTTTTATTTTTTAATTTACGCTCCTGTTAGTACCACATACCTTAACAGCCCTCTGTCCAATGCGGCGCCCGCGGGCGCCATGGCACCCGTGGTATATTTTTCTGGCGCCCTCCGTAATCACATATAATTGAGCAGATTTTTAATATTAATTCAAATTGTAAGACAAGAGACATTTTTGAACGTCTGAGTACTGTTAAATATTTTCGAAAAATTGTATTATTATTATTATTAGTAGTAGTAGTAGTAGTAGTAGTGTGTGATGGCGCCAGCACCTCCATGGGCATCAGTGAATTGTGCCCGAGTACATAAGAACGTTGGACAGCACTACAGATGCCTAAGTGTAAAACTACAGTATCTTTAGCATGCTCAAGGTACTGTAGTTTTACACTTAGGCATCTGAACCCATTTCTGCTGTAGAACCGTTGAACTTTTTTCGAATTACTAGCCCAGGTCTGAATATTTGCGATCTGATACTGTTTCAACTTGCCGTAAATTTTGAAACCTTCTATCAGGGCTGCATTTTACTTCCAGTGACGGCTGCATCACTGTTCCAGTGATAAAACAAGGATATTAGTGCTTCAAGAATACGGAATTTAATTTTGAAGTCTTCTTGCTAGCACTTGTTTACGTGTGTGGTCTAATTACTACGGCAGATGGATAAATTTATTAGGCTCTTTAACAATAAGAAATACAAATTTAATTAATGAGGAAACTAAGAGCAGATTGGATTGTGGTAATATTTGCTGCTATTCAGTTCAGAAAACTTCTCAAGTCTGCTGTATAAAAATGTAAAAATCAGAATATACAAAACTATAATTTTGAATGTGGCTCTGTATGGGTGTGAAACTTGGTCTTTGACATTACAGGAACAACATAGACTGAGGGTATTTACGAACAGGGTGTTGAGGAGAATATTTGGACTGAAGAGAGATGAAGTCACAGGAGGTTGGAGAAAACTGCATAATGAGAAGCTTCATAGCTTGTACTCTTCTCCAAGTATAATTAGAATGATCAAGTCAGGGAAGATGAGATGGGTAGGGCTGATAGCATGAATTGGGGAGAAGAAGGATGCATATAGGATATTGGTGTGAAAGCCAGAAGGGAAGAGATCACTAGGAAGGCCAAGAAGTTGGTTGGTGGATAATAATAAAATGGATCTTAAATAGATGGGATGGTATTGGCTTGAATGATCTGGCTCAAGATAGGGACAAGTGGAGGCTTTTTGTGAACATGGTAATGGACCTTCGAGTTCCATAAAATGTTGGGAGATCCTTGAGTAGCTGAATAACTGGCAGATTCTCAAGAAGGGATCAGCTCCATGTAGTTACTACATAATGTGAGGATCCTCTGATTGTATCTTATGTTTAAAATATGTCTTGAACACCTATTTACAAAGCTTCATAGTTTGTTCATGCTTGTTTTTAATACTTTCCATGTTTCACGTGCATAAAGGAGAACGGATTTTACATTAGTATTAAAAGTCTGTAATTTAGTCTTTTTTTAATTTTTGTTCTTCCACGCCTGATATAGAAGCTACATTTGCTCTTTTTATTCTTTGATTTATGTCTTGATCTGTTCATCTTGTGTTACTATGCTTCCTAGGTATGTAAAACCCTCTAGCTGCTCAATTTTTTTTATTAGCGATAGTTTCTCTTCTATTTTGGCCTTTATTCTAATCTCTTTAGTTTTATATTTACATTGATACGAGTATTTAGCGCAGCTTTGCTTCTTGTTGTGATCTTATTAATTTGTCCTTCATATCAATATGTCTCTGTGACAATAAACATGCCATCAGCAAAATCGAAATCCTTCCAACCTATCTTTCACCCCCCCCATGCAATAAAGGATCTTCATTTTAGTGTCAGCACTTTAAAGAGTAGACATAAAACATCAAGTGGTAGACCATAGTCTATAGACAAATACAAGTCAGCTTTTAACAAATGACCATGCATCAGGCGTGTGTGGCCAATCTGAAGGCACACAAGCAAACTTCCTCCTTCCTGAAAAATCTGCCAAACCTTGGCAGATGGCTTCACTGTCCACAATCTGTTGTTCTGTGTAACGGGCCATTCCTTTTTCTAAGAAAATAAAACTGTATGAAGATGAGCACAAATGCTACTGCCAAGAGCACATTCTGTCTCCAGGATCCCATGGAGGGTAGCCTTCCTACCTGGGTACCTGTTTTGCATAACCTGTATGGACAGGCGCCCAGCAAAACAAAACGGTCTTTCCTGCCTTACAGATGCCTGAGGTTTGGTACAGAATTTCCACAGCGACCAGTTGATCTTTACCAACATTTCACAGGAATCTAGAGGCAAGTATCTCCAACATGTCTACTACTTAAAAGACTACGTGGTACCTGGACCTAGAAAATCACATCCTTAACCTCCGGCACCTTGTAAACAGCTAGTCTCAAATAATTGTTTCACGGGAGTGTTTTCTTTGTGCTATACCCATTGTCTTTGAGCCGGGATAGCGTAGTTGGTATAGCGACTGTCTACGCTAGACAACCGAGGGGTCTGAATTCGAGTCCCAGGTCAAGAATTTTCTCTTCTCCACATCGTCCAGACCGACTCTAGGTCCCACCCAGCCTCCTATCCAATGGGTACCGGGGACTCTTCCTCCAGCGGTAAAGCAGCCGGGGCTTGAAGCTAATCTCTCACCTCCAACTAGTGGGATGGTCAAGAAACTGCGGCTCGATACATCCATTCCCCCCATACACCTTCACGGCATAGTGCTTAATTCGTTAAGTACAGGGAAAACTTTACCTTTTTTTTACCTCATGCTCATTATCTGTTTTACTGTGGTGTAGGGCTATGATGATTGGAAGTACTAAACATGCAAGTCTACAACAAGAGGCATGGAATTTGTTAGGCTAATCGAAAAATGTCTGCCAGAGAGACATAATGTTGTCCCTATACGCATATTCGTCTCATGCATCTGCTATTCACATTGGTCTGAAATTAGACAGTTTGCCACCACTGATTTTAAAATTTGGTATAGAATATGCCACTAGAATGGTTAAAAAATCAGATGGAATTGTAAACATCAGTTTATAGTTTCTGATGCTATTGATTTATTGGAGGAAAACATAAATATTATATGAGGCAGGAAGACAGAAGATACTGAAGTGGAAATGACGGTAACAAATAAAGGTTACATTCACACAGAAATTAAGGGCGAATTAAATATAAATAAGTTTGTTCATATCCATACCATCAAACATGTACATTACTTTGCTACTTATTCCAGAAATCTGAGCATAGAAAGTCATTTGTGGTCATACAGTAGACACTGCTGTGTGGCTTTCCAATGCAACCCAACTGTACTCATAGACAACACTGTCACAAAGACATACATCACACTATGCCCACGCTTCAGCCCTTGCTCTCAGAGAAGCACATCTTCCATTATCTTGATTACTTCTTCAAGAAGGCCATACATTACACCATATCATCATACTGAATCCTACAATACAATACAATACAATACTTCAAGACATCCACTATGCTATACTTAAACACCTTCTGGCTACTTAGTAAATGCCAAAAGACCACTCCAGACTTTAAATTAACTTACAACACAGGATTATAAATTAGACTGGACTGACTGAGAATGTTTGCAGAAAACAACAGCATATGAGAATAAAGGGCCCAAATTATACAAGACCTGACTAGACAAACTTTATAAACATCCAATGAATTTGGAAACAGGAGTTACCAATTTAATACATGTCCTCACATAAAAATGAAAATTGATCAGATTTAATTTTTTAATGCTTCTCACATTTCTATACATTTTACATATTTTTAAAATCCCTGCCTTACAACTTTACTATTTTTGTGCATTCCACCTTACAATGGCCACTTTGCAGTCTAAACATGTAGTGTGTAATCAGGAATAAAAAATAAGGCTTTTTAATGTATGTGCAATGATTATTCTCAAGCCTTGAATGACTTGATGTTTCACTATTCTCCTTGTTATTCTTCTGATTTTGCCTGGAACATAACATTCTCTTGACATGCACAACAAATCAAACATTCAGAGAACATATAATATGAGCATACTCATCAATGGGATGAGGAGATAACTTTATAATATTATTTTAATACTTTTTAATACCTTAATATTTCTAGTTATTTTAGCCATGTAATATCAAACTCTTTATTCATATTATAAAATCTTATATTTGTAATATAAAACATCTTCTAATTACCTCCACTAATATTTTAAATATAAAATTCTTGTATACTCTTAATATTTACAATATTTTTCTATATCATAATTTTTTCATAACACAAGGCACAATGTTCTACAACTTTTTTAATATTGACATGTTGCACCACAATATGAATCCATATTGTGATTTTATGAACTTTTAAGGTATTTATTATATACACTGCCTAATGATGGTCCCATGAGGATTGAAATATGTAGCGGTAAACGATAAAATCCAATCTATGAGATACTGATTTTAATTGTGATACCATTTCTCTTGTCCCAGGCTGATCCAGAAGACATATCTAGCATACTTGGGGTTCATCCCAAAAAGGTAAATTAAGCAGCACCACATTACAACATATAGAATTTGTACAGCTCCATTAATTCTTAACCTTGAAACAAAACATTTCTCAGTAGAAAGATGCACATAAAACAGCAGCTATACACAAGAACAGCAAAAAAGACTTTCTATTCAGAAGTTGTATTTAGTGCAAGTTCTTGCTGATTTAACAAAACGTTTTTTATGATCAATTAAATAGGATGAATATGTAAACATTTTCAAACAATCAAAACAGTTGTAAATCTTAACTTTAGAATGAGCTGTCGGCTAATGAGTCATTAAATCATCAATGTTCTCCAATTTAAAATGGCATTCCTTACAAGCGCAAGAAGATCTATTCATTCCATTAATTAATGGCTTATCCAGACTTTCTTTGTTGTTGCTGCTATGCTTTAATGTTCTGTTTAATTTACTTCTGTCTACAATGCTGGATGCAGAAAGAAAAACATTCAACTCATCTCCAAATGCTCCAAGTTTATCTGTTGCTTCACTGTTCAAAGACCCACCTCTTGTGTTATTACTTATTATTGCTTATGTGAAATAGTCTTCCTATTTCTATACATTTTGATAGGTCGTCTTCCTTCATAACTAGTGGGGATATCAATTTCTGACTCAAAACTTCCAGGCACTCTCTCTGCCTTATCTGCAACAGTATCTGTTTTATTGGTTTTTGATTTGAAACTTTCCAATCATTTAACATTTTGATGCACTTCATTATTGGGTGAATAACCAAGGGTTGACTCATGTTACACACAGAGCCAAATATTTCTATCATCATCTTCCTCAGATAGATCCTCAAAGTCCTGCTGTAATAAAACTACTTCAAGAACATCTAAATCTGAGTTAGGAATATAATTAGGATGAAATTCTGACCTTTTCTCAGGATCAGAATTAAAACTAAATACTGCAAATATCAAAAACATATGTTCTATTATGACAGTTCATGTGTTTTCAAGATATGTTGCATATGTAAAGTTTTTGCCACACTATTCACATAGGACCATATCCAAATTAGAATGCAGACTCTTGTAAAGAGTTTGTTGCCAGCTCTGACAGAATTTTCTTTCACACAGGCTACACTTAACCAGCTGCTTCTTGTGAGTATGTATTGCCATATACATCTCAAACTTCCCAATACTGTTAAAGGTTTATGGATATTTTTCAAGGATATGCTTCATGTTTCTTGTATTATGCAAACTGTGAAGGTGCTCCCTTACATGTCGCCTAAAGTAATATTTTTTTGAAACTGCTGTCCTCCATGCAGCACAGCCTGAAGGACCATCATTATCATTTTCAATCGCTACAGTCTGAGTGGCAAGTTCACATTTTTTACCTGAATCTGATTTGTAATTTGTAAGATGATTATTGGAGTGCTTATGCGTTTCAGGTATACTTGACATGTTCACTGCCTGACAATGCCTCTGACTGATTTTATTTGAATATTTTTGACATCTGGTGTTCAAAACAGCTGTATGTAACTTGCACTTTCTGCCATCTTTGTTTTCTTCTGAATCCATTCTGCATTCTTTAAAGTTCTTCTCTGATTCTAATAAAGGTCTTGTTGCCACACATTTTGAGCTGATCACATTAATATGGCCACTACAATTCTCAGACTCTTGGGACATTGTGCTTATTAGTTTTGGCAGCACTTTCACACAATTCTCTCTCATATGCAATTTTCCTTTGGTCCATGATGTATTTCTTTCATTTTCACTTGAAACATCAATAGTAGTACTTGTCAATGTTCCAGTTTGGCTGCTTCCATCAGTTTGCAGGGCCAATGGAGAGGCTGATCTGTTATCTGTGCTAGATTTATTATCCATGGGAAGTATAGCAGAAATAGATGAAGATTCACTGTTTAAAACATCATTTGCTGGAAACAGAATCATGTCTGAACTCACCTTTAAGATGTTCAGAATCTGTGAACTAGCACTGTGATTTGTACTTGTGCATGATGGTTGATTTAATACCAATGAACATCCTTTTGGAGCAGACACATTTGATTTAGACTGCAGTTGATCATATGAATCTTGCAGCATTGTCAATGAGTCTGAATCACATTGTGTTGTCTGTGATTCTTCTAATTCAATGTTAGATTCATCACTAATATGAGAGAATAATGCCCCTGAAAAAGGGTCATTTTTGTCAGCCACATTATTCATTTCATGCCCAACAAATTCAGGCATATCATCACCATCAAGTGTCCCTTCTGAACCCTCAACAGTACATCCACTGTCAAATGGAACAGGGCTCACTTTTTTCACTACTGACTCCACTTTCATATCCTGTTAAGACAAAAATTGCTATTAGAAAAGTACAAAACAATGAAATGGAAATCGTTCGCCAAATGAAAAAGAAATACTTGTTTAATACTAATAATTTAAAAATCTAAGTAAACAATATGAATTGCTTTGAAAGTTATCCTGTTGGGTTGTAATGATAACAGTTGTTTTTTTAAAAAACAATTTGTATTGATTTTATTAAATAGGTTAGTATACTTCCTTTTGTGAAAATGTGCAATGCTTTCCTGACTTAAACAATCTTAAGCTTTTTCATAACTCATGAATTCATTCATTCATAGAACAAACACTGAAGATTTAATGACTTCTTTATTGGCGTTATGCTGAAGTGTAAATGTAGTATCCGTGCGATATCCTACCTCTCTGAATCTGCATTACAGTTATTACCTTAACCTTTCAGGTTCAATCAAGTGGAATAAGAACTTAAATTAATAATTATATACTGACTGGCAATTGTATTTTACAAATAACACAATAAAAATAACCTTCATAGGTGTAATATATTCAAGTTCTGGTTCTCAGCAAGTCAAGAAACATGTTCCATTCACCACATTCAGTTGTCCGGTTCTCAGCAGGTCACGAAACATGTCCCATTCACCACACTCAAGTGGTCTGGTTCTCAGCAAGTCATGGAACATGTTCCATCATCATATTCAGTTGTCAAAGAAACAAGGGTTAAGATTCTTTCAGACTTATCAACCAATGGATGAATCAATGTATGAGGGGTGGGCCAAAATAGTCCGGCCCTTGTCCCGCAACCTTCACTGAACTATTGTGCTTCCCTTTATTAATCCTATACTTTGAATGAAATGTAGGACCCATGTGATGAAACCTTAAATAAGCTATGGCCTCCCAATCACACAGGATATGTGTGGGGTTGATTCAGCTTCTTCTAGGTACCTTTCACAAGTTGGGTTATCTGTCAATCTCACTTTAAGGTGACAGTGTCCTGTAAATAGTACTACCACCCATCTTAATTAGTCTCTGTTTAATTTCAACAAATCCCTCCTCCTTCTGGCAGGGGACCCTAATATAAGTCCCTTTGACTATCTGAGTCCAGTTACAGACTCCCAATGTTTTTCTTCTCAACCATGGTACATGCAATCACACAATGGTGACTGAGGACTGTCTAAAATTGTGAGATCAGGAAAAAATAAAAAATGTATTCCCTGTAATGCTATGATCAAGGGGAAGAAAATTTGTGTTCCTATTTAGATATTCACATTTTTAGAGTTAATTTTTTATATTCTGTAGCAGTCCCCTTTTTAGTCCAACAGGCTAATTTTACTTGTTGACAAGAACATTTTAAAAAGAGGAGCTGTGATTCCCTTGACCTGTTGCTGAACAACTAACCCCTCTTGGTGGAAATACAATGCCCCTTGGGTCAAAGAGGGATTTGAATCCCACAAGGTTGATCTGTGCCATCTAACACCCGTGCATGTTGCAAACGAACATGCGCTCACGTGCACACACACAATCACACTTAAGCTTACACAAACAAAAGAAACACAGGATACAAAAATTAACAACTGCTTCTCTCTCAATGTACGTGAGTATTTGTAGTGAGAGGAAGAATCATGAATGTTCAAAAAAAGTGGGAGAGACACAAACACAAAAATTCTACAACAACCTAGAGGCCTGGACCCATCAGCCCAAGTGATAATGGAATATACTTGTGAGAGGAAGGTGAAACATTTAACAAGCACCATAAGCAAGAGGAAGGAACTTCCACAGAGGGAGAGAGCTATGACTAGGCCTGGCAAGGCCATCCACAAATTTCTTGCAACCTAAGCAACATCTCTATTGATTTTGAAATATCTTATGCCATACAAATTTGAAATGTCATTGGTTTACCTGTTTCAGTGACACATCATATAATAGAAGTCTAAAGTGAACGTTCAAGTTACACTTATCCTAATATATGGAAGTCTGTGGTTGTCTACTTGTTGGGCATGTTGAAACCAGTTATTTTTATACATATTATTCTCCTGCTGACGAGCCTTTGTAAAATTTGCTGCTTTTGTGGATATTCATCTCATTGCCTCTAAGTGTCAACATTTCACTGTGACACAGAAGGGACAGAAAAGTAATGCCTTTTCTTTCTTCTCCTTCATGAATGGGCCCACCAGACTAGTTTCAATATTAATTACAAAATGATGAATCCTTCAGGAACTACGAGTCTTTAAATGAAAGACAGGTCCATCACAAGGCCTACAGTAGAACTGGTGTTATATACAATTTTAATCTTAAGGTTAATTTTAGGCAAGGTATATTTCGATATATTATTTTAGAAGTCTAACCATATGTAATATTATTGTGTTTTTTAATGCATTAGTTGCTGTCCTTGATGAGATATTACATTCTGTTCTAGTATGTTGTACCATAAATTACGATTTGTATCTTGATGGAATTAACTGCCTGCAGGGGCAGTGCTTTTTCTTTCATGTTACCATGTTATTTTTTGTAGAGAATATATTTCTCTGTTGAAATCCAATTCTCTAGGTGCACGAAATAAAATAGTGGTCATATTGGGTACAATATACTGTGTGAAATACTGACAAACATTGCTATAAATATTTTAACTAAGGTGACAAACTCAAGTTTTACTGATCTGGTAGAAAAATCACGTTTCACCTCAAGATGTATTGTGTTCTGAACAAATGATGAGCACTGATATTTGCTAAGATGAATGTATGAGGTATGACACATCTCTTTGAAACTATGAAACCTATTCAGTTTATACAGACATTGATGACAGATGAAACTTGGAAGGCCATCACCAAAGAATACCTAAAGAAAACAAAAAAGGTACATAAGTAAACTTGCCATTTACATAGTAATTATGAACATCTGTGCATTACACCATAGCAATTTAGCGATACAGCGCAAATGTCCCATCTGTCCTTCCCTGCTCAGTCCAAATGGAATTTGCTGAGAGGACATAAGCAGATACACTCTTCTGAGGAACATCAGTGGCATGGCACTATGGAGAAAAAAAAACAGGACAACAAAAGTGACTTATCTTTTTTTATTGCTGCTGGGGTGGAACTAAGTTCCTTGTACGGCGGCCACTTCTGGCCTATTGTACCAGGCCAAGATGATAGGTGAGGGTGATTGTGGAGCAATTGGTGGAATGAACATTGGCAGGGGAAACTGAAGTACTGGGAGAAAACCTGCCCCAGCGCTACTTTGTCCACCACAAATCCCACTTGACCAGACCTGGGGTCGAACCCGGGTCGCCGTGATGGGAAACCAGCGACTAACTGCTTCAGCTATGGCACGTTACAGAAGTGACTAAGCAGACACTTTTGTTGTGATAGATTTTCAGCACGTAAATTTGCCCCTGCCTTCTCCCCTCCAATTCATCAATCCCAGCCTCCATTCTTCTCACAAAGTGCCCCACTTTTCTTTAGATAAATATGGTCACCTTATACGTCTACTTTCTTTCCTGAAGGGAGAAACAGGAGCCAAAATCAATGATAACCGAGACCTTAGTTTAGTTTACTTTATTGAGTTGAGTTTCATTACAAACACTGAACTGTGTTCACACAACAACAGGTTCATGTGGTACACAGGTTAAATACATACAAACAAACAATATGTACAAAATACTTACACTGCTTACATCAGTTCAGTTACTATTAATATCACTATTGATAGCACCATTATTGCACCATTCCTATTTATGCTGTCAACCGATTTTCTAATTTCACATTTTTGCCTCCAGCTAACAGCGGGGGGGGGGGTTATAACTGAGACCTGCTACACAGCAAATACAGTTTAAAATTACAATACACCATTAAACACCCTGAAGTGGTCATTTGTTCCCTGACAAAAATATACTTATGTCATACCTATCTTTTTGAAAATCAAAACAGCCCTCCAGCTTTTTGTCAGACTTCTTACATCAGGCTTTAGTGATCCCATCTGATTGCTCTCAAGTTGAAACATGTAGACATGATCACCACCACCACCACCATCATATACTAAAATCTCAAGTTGTCTTTGTGTGTTTCTTACCTTCTTTGATTATACTTATTTTATAATTGGCCTTTGGCCTGTTTAGCAAGAATGTAAATAAATAAATAAAAGAAAATTATTCAATTATTAACTGCTGTTGACAAGCAGTCTGAGAAACACTGCAAAAACCTGCATTGACAGGAAACCTCTGTACACCTTGTATAAATGTTAGAATAGAAGAGAATTCTATTCTATTCTACTTCACCCTAGTTAGATCTAAGTTTCAACATACCTCTGTTGTCTGGAATTCTATTATATCTACTGATACCAACAAACTGGGATGCTTCCAGCAGAAATTTGGAGCTTGTTTTAATTGTTTCTTTCCCCACGTCCATAATAGTTATGCTTTTGCTTTGGAGCAGTTAAAATTGCACACCTTATGAGGAGACATCACCTCAGTGAACTGTTCAAGTTGACCCTGGCTATATACTCTGTCCTCATTTTTGGAACTAATGGTCTTTGGCTTCTTGCTTGATGTATCAGAGAATTTTCTACGTTCAGTGTCTCCTCTTCTAATAAAAATTGTCCTTTTGCTAGATGAGCTTCAGCTGTCAGTGTTGTTTGCTGGAACACTGATGTAGTTGGAACCAAAACTGTTTCTCTTAATCGTATTTTATAATGGCAATTTCTAAATTATTAAAATATTAATTGTATTTAATTTATATATGTATATACATATATTCACAGCTTAATGGTTTGTGATTCCATTAACTGCATTATAATTGTCTAAATGATAAAAGTTGTCTTTTCTTTGTTTGCACAGATATTAGTGGCAGCTTTAATGAGAAGGGACAGGGGCAGTCATCCTGGGGCCTCCACAGAACAGAAATACAATACACAAATTTTAATGAGATATCTGCTTCTCTGAATCATTAAGTTATTTTGTGTTTTTAGATATTATAAGAAATAAGAACAGAAAAAGAACTGTTGTAATCTAAACTTGCTGTTATTGATAGCAGCCTCCATATTTTGTTTGACCCAGGGCCCCCACAACTGCACATCTTGTTTTGTCCTTTTTGTTGTGCTTATTTTACAACTGGTCTTTCAGATGCTGAGTAAGTATATAAATAAATAAATATAGAATTTAATTATGTTATTATTATTTTCAATTAAAAACGAGAAAGATGACTGTCTTAACTCAATAAATATTACCGTCCACAGTTACATGGACACATTACAGTAACATTAAAATCGTAGGTGATATTTTCTGCGACTTAAAAAAGGCTTTTGATAGTGTTAATCATGGGATTTTATTGAACAAACTTCAATTTTATGGAACAGACGGTAAATTTCATGACTTAATTACATCCTATTTATCTGAAAGATATCAGACGAGTTTTTAATAACAAGCACTGACTTGAGTTACGCTGGTACCTCTAGTTGGGATATTGTAAGGCATGGTGTCCCACAGGGGTCCATTCTTGGTGCACTTATTTTTCTCTTTTACGTAAACGATCTACCGAAAATTTTTAATAACTCAGTCAAATCAGTTTTATTTGCAGATGATGCAAGTTTAGTTATTAGTAGTTATAATAATATACAATACAGAAATGATGTTGATATTTCCTTTGCTTATCTTAATGATTGGTTTAATTCAAACTTATGAACTCTAAATTTTAACAAAACCAAGCATGTTCAATTTATGACACAGCCAAGTTCTAATAGCATAACTTCTGTTAATTATCATAATAATGCGATTTTAAGCAGTACAAATGTGAATTTTTTGGGATTAGCTATTGAAAGCTCATGTAATTGCAAAGCTTATATATCCCAACTCATGCCTAAATTGTGCAACGCTTGTTACTCAATGAGGGTTATCAAGCCCATTATGCCCACAGAGACATTAAAAATGTAATATTACTCTTATTTCCATTCACTTTTGTCCTATGGAATTATTTTTTGGTGCAATTCTTCTTATAGTATGCACATTTTCAGAATTCAAAAGAGAATAATTGGAACCATGAGTGAGTTGAGATCTAGGGACTCTTGTAGAGATGCATTTAGGGATTGGGGAATTTTGCCATTGCAGTCCCAATATATATTTTCTTTATTGATGTTCGTTGCAAATGATATGGGTTTATATCACACGACATCACAAATTCATGGCGTTAATACTAAGCGTAATTTTGATCTTTATCCCCCTCAGACAAATTTTACAACTTACCAGAGGGGACCTTATTATTTTGGTTAATCATCTTCCTTTAAATATAAAAGTTAATCCATATTAAGCAATTTAGAACAGCTTTAAGTGTTTTTTCATATTAAATCTTATTACACTTTAGATGAATATTTTAATTACGGATAGTTTCTTGTTTAGCTATGACCCATTATTTGATCTATTGTCATGTACAATATATGTTCCAATTTTGTATTATATTTTATCTACACACGGTAGGTTATGTAGTTGCAGTGATGTGTAGGGGTTTCATATGTTCGATTTATTGTTGTGGATTTATATATGCATTGTTCTGTTGACTACATGCTGATTTAGCAAGCTTCTGGTGTGACAGGTTCTGTATCCAGTGGCTTCGGCCTTGTATGGATGTGCTGGAACGTGTAATAAATACAATACAATACAACAATTATTAATACAGCTCTTCCAGACGGGTGCGCCTATATAAACTCAATACAATGTTAAAAGCCACGCACATTAGTTTTTGTTTTAATCTAATTACACCCCAATAACGACATAAAGAACGAACCGTTTCACAACGGAATCTGAAATTATGTAAAAGCAAACGTTAAACGCGCCTTCATTCTGTGATTTCTTGGCGTGATACCGTGTAATCTTGTTGCTGGATGTAAACATTTTGGGGGGTAAATCTAAAGCGACCCTGATAATGCAGGCAGCACGTTCCTTCTGATACAGTGTCACAACTAAACAGACTAGCTAAATAATCACCACCGTGAAAACCTGAAAACTTATGTAGTTACCTCCAAGTACAAACAATTCCATATTTTAGACACCACAGATTCTCCTTCACAAATGTCGGTGTCAAATATATCATAAAATATTGCATCGTCTTCGCACATGCACAGTCTGCAGACAACACTTCTTTCGCCTTCCACGTCCATTTTTAAACACATACAGTCACGGATTAATGCCCATAGATCGGCATCAAAACGATAATTGTAGATAACATCTAGGGACATCGAGCGATAAAGCCTTAAACTACTCAAACGAATTATCACAACGATTGACGAAAGATGTGCTTATTATAGCGTAATTGATTGACGACATGACACCGTGATGACCAGAGTCCAGTCGGCAAGAGGGCAAACTGTTATTCCACCTCCCCCCCCCTACACAAGCAAGATGGCAACTAATAATTTTGGATTAGAGAAGTATTTATTTTCTGCTTTATTAATGCAATTTTCGTAAATGGCTGTGTAGTGATTCCAATGCTGTCATATTTCATTCACTTGTTCTCGTAACGAAAACATGTCTCAGCCTTACATGGCCATCCTCAGTGTCGCTCAGTGTTATCTTATGCCTTTAACTTGTTTCATTGCAATGCCCTGTTGAGGAAGCTCAGATTAAAATTAATGAAAATCTAAAGGTATAAAATTAACTCACGTAAGATCGTGAGTGAACCAATAATTAAACAACATTATGATATGTCATATACCTGAGAACTGTCATGTATTAATAGAGAATTGAAAGAAATGTGCCAGTGTGTCTATAACAAAACAGCCATTTCTGACAGTTGCATTAATCAGACAGAAAATATCTATCTCAGTACAAACACTTCATTTACATAAATCAACGATCCCCTTACTTCAATAAATTGATAAATTGAGGCATTATGCATTACATAATACACAGGAAAAATTAATATTCTTAACTGTTTAACACAGGTGAAAATTGGTAAACTTGAATGAAGAATTTGTTTCCAACATAGATCTTTCTATTCAGTAATAGGAATCCAAGATGTACATAAGCACAACAATCTCATTTCAACAACAGATGCCAAAGAACCATCAGCAAAGTATTATAAATAATGTACAACAAACAATTACAATGAAGGGTCCAGATATCATTCAGATATATACTACTTTTGCACAAAAGAGACAATATCAACAAACCCATTGAACATTAATGACTGAAACTAGATAAAAACTATGCATAAAGCATATCAAAGTAATCAGAGAATCTCAAGTAACTCCAAGTATGGGCTGTAGTTTGTAAATGAAAATCAAAACTCTTCTAGGTACATACTATTTCATACAGCAGGCTGCCAAAGGAATATGAATCCAAAATATAAAGCCAAGCTCATAGTACTTCTTACATATCACCAATATATGCCAAACATCAACAGTCAAAAAGTGACCCATAAACTTATAATGTGAATTAACAGGCAGTCATGTTCACAACATGATCGTCAGTTGTCAACAAACATATCATTCTACACGAACATATTACAACACAAATAGGCTCGCTTATTCAAAGGTGTACTTAAGAGTAGCTCACCAGAATAGAATAGAATAGAATGGGTTTTATTATCATACTATACATTTAGATCATCCTTGCAGTTAGTGCCATGTAGGCCTCTAAAAGCAAGGCCATTGATGATACTAGTCTTCAGAGCACCTACACTTGGGTTATCATTTGAGCCACAGTACAAATGAATAGCACCAAATGTGTTCTCAAGGGGATCCTGGTTCAGGCTTCAGGTCTCAAGGTATCTAAACCTGTCTCTCTCACTGTCCCCCACACATATGGCAGCAATAATGTCAATGATCCACCCAATCTGTGAACGAGGGAGGTGATGGAAGGAGACTTTATCATCCTTTAGGAAGATCCAACCGCCATACTTGCTTCGGTCCAGTTATGAGCTATATGAGGACTGTCATCACTAAGTGGGCGATGCGGTTAGTTGCTGGCTTCCCACTGTGGTGGCCCGGGTCTGGTCAAGTGGGATTTGTGGTGGCCAAAGTGGCACTGTGGCAGGTTTTCTCCAAGTACTTCAGTTTCGCCTGCCAATCATTCCACCAATTGCTCCACAATGACCCTCACCTGTCATCTAGAACTGGTACAATAGGCCAGAAGTGGCCGCAGTACAAGGGACTTACTTCCACCCCACTAGCAATAAAAAAAAAGTGGGCAATGCAGTGTCTTCCCAGGGTCAACCATTAAAATTATAAAAGGAGTTATCAACCTCCTCAATAAACATAGCTGTAGCCAGGTATTCACTGCCAAACCCTCCTGAAAAATACACTGAAAGAAAGTACATGACTGTCATATTTGTTCAAAATAAGAAGCAACACACACTAGGTTGTTGGTGGTTTGCTGATTACAAGTAAGTTCTAAGATTCAGAGATCTGGGAACATGTGCCTAATTCATTCCCATTATACATTTCTTTGATAATAAAAGCATTATAATCAACTGAAAGGAGTGCAGTGCTCCTTACCTCTTAGTCACCTCAGCAAAAAATACTTGCTGCTATAGTGCGGCTCATCGCTCACATAGCAAAGCTCTCTCTCATTGCACTGTGTTCAACAGGGTTGAGATCTGTGTCTGTTAATTTATACAGCTGGTGAAACAGACTGGGTTTGTCAAGTTTGTTTAGTTTCAAAATGTGTTCCCAGTTATTAATGACAGGAAGCTGGTTGTCCAGATGCTCATACTTCAGAAATAGTTTCTGAATGCCCTGCAGGAGGTGGGATCATATACTGTTACAATCTGTTTCTTACCTTGTGTATGTTACTATGTCATTTAACCTGACACACTATTTTATGCAAAACATGCAATGCAGTGCTCTGTAATAAAGGTTGGTACTCCTCTAACCAGCTTATAATTAAGTAAGTTTGGCACATCTGAACAGTGGGGTTGGGTTAGTTTTGAAGAAAGAATTTGCAAGATCCAAATCAATATAAAATAACATTCATAATTTATTCACACACATATTATACAATGATATCTGCCTGCTGAATATACTACAAGATTCTACATCTCCTGGGCGTTTCATTCGTCATTTTCATAATCTTTTGGATTCTTGCGCATGAGCTTTTCATGTTTCTTCTCGACAGTGTCATATATCAGGTAGGCAACCACAAATGCTGAAAAACAGAACAGTACTTAGGTTCCATTCATTATGATCATTGTACTAGCTAACATCAAGAATGATACATTACTAAACCCTAGCTGTAGAGCATGAAGACCGCCATTCACATCCTATTTATGCTCAACCTAAGAATTCAAGAAGCTTTGTCTCCATAACCTCTATGTGCCTTCATGGCATGGTGCCTAAACACAGAGTCAACTTCCTTAAGTAGACTAGAACAAATGCCATTTCTGACAGAAGTGAACTTTTAAACCTAGAGATTAATAATGAACTATGCTCAAATTCTGAAAGCATCAATGAATTATTACATAAACTAAACCCTGAGACTAAGAGGCACCAAAGTAATATAACAATAACATGACTTTTAAGTGTGTTACTGATCAAAGTCATTAAACGTGCTGCACAAAACTGAACTCACGTGGCAGAACTCGAAAAATGTTGGAACGAATGCGGACGAAAATATTAGGGAGACCTTTACTTATAGCCCCAGCAAATGCTCTTTGTTCAAACGGTGAGAGTCGGTACTGAATGATGCCTCGGATTTTGGCCAATTCACCGAAGTGTTTTCCCATTGCACTGGTATATGCTGGTGAAAAATGAACACATGTTAAGTTCTCTCACTTTATACCTATACAGAAGATGACAGTAACAAATCAAAATTATATTTAACATAAAAATATAGACTGATATATTGGGTTTTTGGACTTTATCCATCGTCCTGGTTTTTAAGATAACTAATAAAAACACGTTTCGGAAACTGGATCTGTTTCCATCCTCAGGTTAAGGAAAACACCTATTTAACGTCATGTTTTTATTAGTTATCTTAAAAACCAGGACGATGGGTAAAGTCCAAAAACCCAATATATCAGTGTGTTATACACCATCGTCAGAATCCTATCGTAACTAATAAAAATATAGCAAATGCTTACTACTACTAAGTTCAGAATAATTCCATCTTCTGTGCCCAATCTAAAAATCTAAATATGATAAAAGTTATTACTTTACTTGTTACTTTCCTTAAGTGTGAAACTAAAGTCCCTCCTTGAAGGGAAAAACGAGGGGGGGGGGGGGTACAAAATAATGGAGACACTAAGAAAGTAAGGAATAGAATTTGTGTTGGCTACACTGAAACTACTTCAGTTGGCAATGCTGAATGTTCTTCCATTTGTTAACATCTTGTAGGTGCATTAGTGATTGTGTTGAAGGTCAGTCCATATGAAAGAAATCAGAAAATGGGAGACTTGTCTGATATCGAAACAGAGCAGATCATTGGTGCACATTTAGCTGGAGCATCTGCGACAAAAACTGACACATTAGATATGTAGAGAGAAAGTTTCTAAGGTCATGTCGGCATATACAAATCATGGGAAGACAACAACAGCAAAGAGCAGTGAGCAAAAATCAACAATGACAGAAAGAGATCATCGTTCATCGAGAACCTCATGAAGCCATCATCAGGCGATACATTAACAAACCTTATACTACTGAATGATGCCTCCTATATGGATCTCCTGATGATAGCTCTATGAACTGAAACATGTTGCGACATTGTATGACCAATAAACTCGGTTATGCACAGTGAAATGTGAGTGACTTGTTTCATATTGTTATGTATAACAGTAGAAACAGAATTCACATATCGTACTAACACAACAGGATGCATCCCTAAAGACCACTCATTCTTTTTTGTCTTTGAACCACAGTCTGTCTTAACTTAATCTTATCTTGGAAGGCAATGGACATATATAAATCTTGCAGCAGGTCACAAAAAGAAATACAACACAGACTCATAAATTCCTTGATGTCTATTGAAAAATTATGCAATTATAACAAAACATGCTAGCAAGACAAACCATGTCCAACTCCCAACTGAACAAAAACTATTACAAAAAATTAATTAACTTATTGGGGTTTCCTACAGAACGCTGTAATAAAAATGTGAATTGAATAATCACAGTGCGATGTAAACTCTCCATATGGACTTTTTAACCAATGAGTCAGTTTGAGTAACATAGTGAGAAGTTCATGACTTTGTACACCACTGAATTTCTCTGCTCACTTTTTTTATTACAATGTCTTACATAAACCCATTTCTCACACAAATTTGTTCCTTAAGTGCACTATCTACACCCAATAAAACATACTTTTACTCATCTAAACCCATAATTCTTTAACAAATTAACAAGACTTAATCCAGCTTCACAATCCAGACAACTAAGTGGCAAAACTACAGTTGTATAGGAGAATATTACAATCCATACATGCATACTACCCTAACACATTAAAGTGTGTCATGCTAACCAGTGATATGAAAGTCTGAATCCAGACTGAGCAAGCAGTAATGTCCGTGACTTGTATTCATGAAAACCCCAATTTAAATCTTAACTGTGACACTTTTTACTCATATGTAAGGCTAGTGCAAACAGCGGAGGTGAACCATGCCACCATCTCAGGCAGATTTTTGAAACCTTTTTATATGTTAAAGTTAAAAAAAAATTCAGTTCATCTTCTGCTCAGAATGTTACCAATACCTGATATAACCTACATATGTTATGCAGCAATGCAAATAGGATGATTTTCATCACTGTGTCTGGGAATTTTGTATTAATAAGTCAAAATGCTGAGAAAGTTCATATGTTTTAACTGTAAGGATAAACAGAATTCTTCGACTTCTCGGGTGGCATTTGCACTTAATCGTAACTACAAATTGTACTTTGGATTCAAATTCATGTCTAGTCAGTCCACAAAAATATATGATCCACCAAGTACAGCACAGCAAAGAATCCAAAATGTACATCATATAAACATCAATCCATTGACAAAGCAAGTGCCTTTATTATAAGTGCATGAAATGAAACTAAATAACCGTATAGTAGTTCTACTCCAATTATTACATTAAATTTGTTTAGAATTACACTTCCGAGTTATTAAACGGGTAAAATGTAGCTAAGTAACCATAAAATAATTCTATACTGAGTGACAAAATACATTAAATTTGATGAGAATTTATGTTTCCGCGTTATTCAAGTTTAATCTCTTCACAAACAAAGAATTAACATTATAAAATAATAGTTCTTATTTCTACCTTCAGCACTTCGTAATCTTAAGCCCCAACCAAATATACGACATACGGCCGTACCAACCAGGAACCCCAGGACCCCCCAGGAATAACAACCTACCAATCCGATAATACCACGGATGACCAAGACCAGGGGCACCGCTAACGGCTAAGACCAACACAGTCTTTATTCGCTGGAGTGTGGTCGGGTGTGGTCATTTCCATCATGGGATATCAAAATTTTATATCATGTACGATAATGTCGGCATGTATTTCCATGGCTCACTGACCTGTTGATATCACGGATCACAAAGAGTCGTAACACTGTGCAACCGCACCGCCGTGAATATCTCAAATCGTATAATTAAGCAATCTTATATGAACGACATTGTCGTAAAAAGCCCACCGCCTCCTTGTACAGTATACAGGCAAAATAATGAAACGAAGGTGGTAGGAGGCCAGCCTCAGCGCGTATAAGTGAACGTGAAACTGTTATGTAGACCAGGTATTGATCCGTGGTACGGTAAACAAATATGGATATGGCGATGTTTGTCTGGTAACCATATAGTCTTTCGCACCAGAATTTTCAGTGACTCAAATCAGGCGAAAGAAGCAAAGGGTATCTACGGCAAAGAAATACCTAAACATAAAGATACGAAATGTCTACACGATGGTGAGTATAGTTCCATATAAGCACAAATACATTCATTCACAGTTCGGTATAGTTAGCCTAATACTTTTTAACAATGTACGTAATCTAACAGTGTAAAGGTGCAGGTTCTGTTCCTACAAGTAGTTTATTCATTCCCGAATATTCATATTCATATTTATTTGCATTCATACTGTTACAGCTGCAACACCTGAACAAGTCAACTCACTAAATACATCATTGTTAAAAGCTCCAAAATCCTAGAATGTATTAGACTAAAAATAAAACTGTACTTGCCTTACAACATCACTAAAACTTTTAAAAATATAACAATAACTACTACAATTCCCTTACGTTTTCCTTACAAATTGTATGAATTCCAAGCAACTTTTAAAAAACTTCGATAAAAGACAAATATATCCCGAAGATGGAAGTAGCAGGTTCCTTTGGAACATTTGAATGTGTTTTCCACACTCATCATCATCAGTAATCTGTCAAGACGACAGGTCCACAGTCTCTTTCAAAACAATTCCTCCACTTAATGCGATCTAGAGCTTTCTCCTTCAAATGACAGTATCCTCTTCTGTCCCCAAGGTCATCCAGCATCTTCTTACGTCTTCTTCCTCGTCTTCTTGTCACTTCTATCCGCCCATCTATCTTTCCTTCGATAGCTTCTTTTAGAAGGCAGTTTCTGCGTAAAACATGACCAATCCAATTAGCCTTCCGTTTTCTTATTTCATGTAGGATATTCCTCTGCTCACTGACTCTAATTAACACTTCTTCATTTCTCACATAATCGGTCCAACTGATCTTCTCCATTCTTCTCCAACACCACATTTCGAAACTTTCCAGATGTTTCTGATCTACTGCCCTAAGTGTCCATGTTTCAGCCCCATACAGAGCTATGCTCCAAATGTAGCATTTCACTAGTTTCTTCCTCAAATTTAAGTCCAATTTGCTGGTAAAAAGATTCTTCTTCTTGCTAAATGCAGCTTTTGCCATGGCAATCCTGGATTTAATTTCACAAGTACACCTTCCATCATCTGTTAACAAGCTACCCAAATATTTAAAACATTTCACATTCTCCACTTGTTTTTGGTCTATCTTTATTGTGACTGGGGTTGGTTGTCTCGAAATTTTCATTACTTTTGTTTTCTCCACATTCATTTCCATGCCATAGCACCTTCCAATTTCAATTAGTCTATCAATCATGCCCTGTAGCACAGTTTCTTCCTTAGCCATTAACACAAGGTCATCTGCATATTTCACAGTTTGAATAATTTGCCCTCCTACTTTGAAGTCACCGAGCCCATCCAGAGCTTCCTTGGTAAGGCATTCGCTGTACAAGTTGAACAGAATTGGTGATAAACAGCATCCTTGTCGAACTCCTCTTCCAATCTGCACACTTCCTGTCTCCCCCGTGTCCAGTCGTACTCTAACTTTCTGATCCATGTACAATTTGCTAATCAATCTTCTTTCATGCCAATCGATACCTGTTTCTTTCAGGATCTGCATTAATTTGGTCCAGTTTACCCGGTCAAATGCCTTCTGCCAGTCTATGAAGCAAACACACAGTTCTTCATCTATCTCCAAAGTTCGTTCCGCTATAATTCTCATCATCCCAATTGCATCCCTGGTTCCTTTTCCTCTTCTAAATCCAAACTGATCTTCTCCAAGTACATCCTCTATTTTCCTTTCAATTCTTCTTTTAAGTATCTTTGCTATTATCTTTGCTGTATGTGCAATAAGACTTATTGTGCGATGGTCGCTGCATTTTGTAGCTTTTGTCTTTTTCTTTAAGGCAATCATTGTAACTTCTGTAAAGTCCTTGGGCCACTCTCCACTTTCATATATGGTGTTCATTAGTTTTGTCAGTGTTTTCAAACCACCTTCTCCCAGTAACTTGAGCACATCTCCAGGTACATCATCATCTCCTGTAGCCTTTCCCTTCCTCATTTCCTTGATAGCTTTTTCCACCTCACTTTGTAAAATATATGGTCCTTTCTCGTCTGTATCTACTTCTTCTTCCGGTTCAACTTCTAAGGTTTCTGGCCGATTAGGTCGATCATATAGTTCTGAAATATAATTTTCCCAAATTTTCAGCACTTGCCTCTGATCTACTATTCTATTCCCCTGGGAGTCTTCGATGCCAACATTTTGAATCCCATGATTCTCTTTCCATCCTAGTTCTTTTGTCTTCATGTACATCAAATCATAACGGCCTGTTCTTTGAAATTCCATAATCTCATTACATATCTTCTCAAGATATTCCTTTTTGGCCCTGTCCGTGGCTCTTTTCAATTCATTCCTCAGTCTCCTGTATTTCCTCCTGCCTTCTTCATTGTTGACATTCTTCCATTTCCTTCGCTCCTCCATTTTACTCATCATCTCCTGTGTAACCCATGGTTTTCTTGCTATCTTCTCAACTTTACCTACCAAATCACTGATAGTATCTAACATGCATTCTTTTATATCGTTCCACTGCGCTTCAGCATTTCCGCTTTCACCTTCAATTGCACCGAGTTTCTCTTCTAGAGTCTCTTGCACGCTTTGTCTTTGAGCATATAACTTCTCCAAATCCCATCTGGGTCTGCGCTTTCGAAATCCTATAATTTTCTTCAACCTGGTTCGGAACTTGGCAACCAGCAAGTTGTGGTCAGAGTCAATGTCTGCCCCAGGAAGCGTCTTCACATCCTTCACACTGTTTCTGAATCGATGTTTCACAAGGATGTAGTCCAGCTGATGCCTCTTCCAATCCCCAGGTGCCTTCCATGTGTAAATTCTTCTCTTTGGCTTCTTGAACCAAGTGTTGGTAACAATCAATCCATTTCGTTCACAAAAGTCAATAAGCATTTGACCTCTGTGATTCCGTCTTCCTAGTCCATGTGATCCAACAATATTCTGATATGGTTCATCTCCAACAATGCTGTTCCAGTCTCCCAATATGATGCTGTTTGTGTCTCCTCTTCCATCTTCCTGAAGAATTTCTTCAATTGTGTCATACACTTTTTCCACTTCATCGTCTTCATACTCTGATGTTGGCATGTACACTTGTATAATCAGTATATCTACCGGTTCTGCCTTTAACTTCAGAGCACTTCCACACTACATTGGGTAATATCAAGGAAGGACGTAGTATTATATTCATCCCCTTGAGTACCTCCTATTTTATATGTGGTGTTACAACACCATTTGTTTATATAAAATGTATTCAGATTATGATCTGGGGTTTTGACACTGTCTAGTCTTGCACGTAGACACCCACTTTACAGAGGAAGATGCCTCCATTTTCAAGGTTGAAATGAGTGGAATGAGAATGTTGTCAGGTTATATAGGCAGGTTGTTTAGACCCACAGGAGGAGATGAGGTAGGTCAGTCTGGACCAATAGGAATGGTGGACAGAAAATTGTGAAAATCAGTCCTTTTCAAGGCCCATGCAGTCAGGAAAGTGGGACATAAAAATAGATCTTATAAGGGCCTAGATAGTATCATCAGTAGGTAGTTTTGTTTGGGGGATGGTAGCATTGTGGACTGTTAGTGGGAAATTGAGGTCACTGTCCTTGGAAAGAACCTATGTCCATTCCTTTAGCAAGTGGGGCAGCAGTGCCCATAACCTCTGTAGGGTGAACAAGCTCTGCCCGTACATGTTTTTGGACAGCATCTTGATCTGTATTGCTATCATTGTGTTCCAGACTCTGTGCTTGGAACATTTAGCCAGGTTGCTGGTGTCAGTGAGCAGGATTTGTTGGCTGCAGTCATTGCTGTATTCAGCCATGGATGACTTATTTGGCTGTTGCAGTGAGATGCTGCTAAATAACTTCATGGAGCTGAGCCCTTCTGGAGAATTTGCTAGTTGTGCAGCTACTGAAGAACTTCCCAGCATTTTATGGAACCCAAAGGTTCATTACCTTGTTCACAAGAGCCCTCCACTGGTCTCTATCCTGAGTCAGTCCAGTCCATCCCATTCTGGCTCTCTGAGACCTATTTTAATATTATCCCCCCATTTATGTATTGGTCTTCTTAGTTGTCTCTTTCTTTGTGACTTTAGTGAGATGTAGCAGTAGAGTTAATTTGCCCTGTTCTCAGTAGAGTGACTGCCCAATGTACACCTTCTCATGGGAGATGCTACATATATTCCATGTTTTCAGGCTGTCACATCCCCTTTCATTGGATATACTGAACAGCCTGCCTATATAACCTGAAAGCATATTAAACCTGTTCCCTTAAAGCTTAAAGTTGAAGGCAGCATGTTTCTCTAAAGTGTTGGTGACCATTTACTGAAAACCAATATCTGAACACACTGCTGTGACGTTCCCAGATCTGTATTCTTGATTCTTGGAACATCTGCTATTAATTCAACTTTTAAACTTGTCTTATATTATAAACTGGTTTTTAAGTAACTGTCATATTGTATAAGCATGATTAGTAAATAATATTTGGACTGAATTTTTATCTTAAAATTGTCAGTGTCTTACTTATTATTTTCAAGATAAATTTTTAGATGTGATTTAAATCTTGTATACTATAAACTTGTTATTTTGAAAACTGCTTGATTTCTAAGTAAGATGAGTTTATATTTCTGGATGATTTCTGTATCTATTGGTTATTTCAACCTTGTAAGGATTTTATGGAATGTGAATAAATGAATGAATAATGATCTTAACTGAAAATCTTAAATATATGGAAAGCTGATGAGTATATTTTTTCTAGGTATCCTCTGTACCAGCGAGGGAATCCACAGCAAAGAATATTTCTTCCAAACTTCTGGCTGAAATTAGTAAGGCCAGATCATAAACAACCACCAAATATTGTGCAATTCATTGTATCCATAGAGATGACAAAACATGATATAAAAAATTACCTTGAGAAAATCTACAACATTCCCGTTGTTGATATACGAACTGTTGTTGCGATGGGTATGTGTAATTCGTAGTATACATATGTTCTAAGCTTGTATTTGTATCACCTCCATTATGTTCGGCTCTGAAAAATTATGAATTGCAGAAATGTGAATAATTATAAAATTTTGGGACATTACCCATCATGTAGCAAAGATATCTAATAGCCTTTTTTGTGTGTATTTAGGAAAAACAAAACAAGATGAGGTAAAGGGATATGTAACAAAAGAGGATGATTTCAAGGTTGCATTTGTTACACTGGTAAGTAAAGCTGCTCATATTGAAATGATGCTGTTGATTGCATGAAAAGTACAAAAGCATCATTTATTATGTGGCATTTATTTATTACCATGGAATAAAAAGAAATATTTTAAATTATTATTTGTTTCCAGAGCTTATTAAATTGGAACCTTAGTATTTAAGTTGGCATACATATTTTTAACCTACCATAAAAAGTATGTTTCTTAAACTTTTTTAAAACACTTAATATTTTTAATATTTCCTAATATATTCAACACATTATAAATCTTGATATATTGAATATTCTTTATATTTATCTTTTATTTTGCTTTGTTTCTTCTACTTTAATTTAACACCACCGTAAGGCAAAAAAAATTGTTAGTATATAATAAGACATGTTACCCTGATATGGATTCATATCAGTAGTTCAACAACTACGTATTCCTATATATAACTGACTGATGATGGTCTTATATGACCGAAGCATGTAGCAAGAATAAAGATCAAAGTGTAAAACAGTATATTCGTTGTGTTTTCAGCTAACATAATTCCTATATATATTATTAAATCTATTTTACAGCCTCGAGGGCAGAAATTTGAGTTTCCAGACTTGTTCCCAAAGGATGAGAAGAAATTTGAAAGTGATGCCAAAACATTAGAAGAGACAAAGAAGAATCATAGAAAGTTCCTAGAGAAAAGTAATCAAAGACCAGGAGTGCCTGGATGGTACTCTTTCTAGTATAGTAATGTCTGAGAATATTAAAAAATTGTATTTTATGAATGCTAACATGTTCTTGATTTTGAAGATCCCACGTATTTTGTTTTCCTTATTCATTACAATCGTTGAAAATGGAGGTTCAATATTAACTTTCACTTGACTTGAACTTACCAGAAAAGCAACTTGGAAAAATGGGACCTGATACTTGACTTCCCAGCAAATTTTAGTGCACAAAAACAGCTTTTATGTATTTGTTCATGCTTATGTGTGTGTGTTTTCAAGACAGACTGAAAGGTACTTAATTATTAATGTTTAGAAACTACAAAGATATCAGACTGTCACCACTGGTGGGGTAGTGCAGTGTGATTTCATGTTATGTTCTAGTTGGTATTACTTTCCTCAGCAAAATGATTCATCCTGTATTCTTAGTCCCACTAAACATATATACAAAGCAAACTACGTGGCCTGTAGTCTGCAAGTGAAATATACCGACCGAGCCACCGCAGCTTGTCGGTGAAATTAGTGCCAACTTTTGTGGGTAGAGGATATCACGTCAGCACAACAGATCTGCATGGCCATTAATCTCGGTTTCCTAAACCAGAGCTCCCATTTCCTTGAAATAGCTTTTCAGTTATCCTCAGGAGGCTGAGTGGACTCCATTCTTAGTCCCACTCTAATGATTCAGTAATCTTTCCACTAATGTCTCGTATCTTTTTTTGTATGCTTCCCTGCAAGTTCTACGTAAGTGTGCTAGATGCACTAAGCTGTTCATTTTTCAAATCAACTTACCCAGTCTATATATAAAGTGCATATTTCATCACTACAAAGACAGGAGCAATATATAGACCTACATCTGCACACAGAAATGCATTTTTTTTAATGGTGTCAAGTAGACTTATGTAGTGAACATAAACTTAATGAATTCAAGGAATTTCAGTATGTGTGTATTTGCACAAGACTTCTCACAGGACTTAAAAGTGCTCACAAAAAATCCCTATAAATATCCTGTGCATTTATACCTTAAATGAAGTCAAAGTAATTGGTAGGTTAGATAATGGTGGCTTCTCATGCTTCTGCACGTTTGAAGTTCAGAATCATTGGATGGATTTTGATGAGATCGGATATGAAAGATATATCATTAAAGGCCACCCTAAACTCTTATCTCCTACAGTTCATAATAAAGAGGTGGCACTTGAACTTGCAGGATGGGATTGACAGTAGTGCCACTGCAGAAACGTAACCAGTAGTAACCATGCTAACGATACCATATTAACTGTATCAACAAAAAAACGTTTAAAATAAAAAAGGGGGCAATGGAAATTTAAAAATTAATTAATATAGCAATTTAACAAATAATATACACCTGATGATGGCCCCATATGGCCAAAACGTTTTGATATATATGAAACAGAGCAGATGGCGTTAAACCAATAGTCTATGAAGTGCTGCATTTACAAGACTGCATTACATTATATCAAATGCTAAACTAATGAAGCAGGATGCTGAAATATAATATTGTAAATAACAGCCTGACAGCATTATGAATAATTTGATTCCAATGTTGATAATCTGTTATTACAAGGTTGTTACAACATATCCACATGAATAAATACTATTTATCACATTCATGACAGTTCTGCTTTTCGTGTTGTGAGTGCAAGCATATGAATAGCATATACGTTCATAGCACAATCTTTCAGCCGCTACAGAAGAAGCAGCAATGACAAAGAATCTTCTCTTCACATTCGTCTTAGTCCTTGTGATGCAGGTAGTATGGAGTAGTAAAAAAGTAAAGCTATCCCTGTATGTGAAGACCCATAGGGTTGTGAGACATTGAGGGTCCCACATTATCTAGACAAGCAGCTCAAAGATGGCGGTACGGTTGTCAGCCTTACGCGCCAGCCGTGCTTTACTCCCCAGGAAAATTATTTAATTAATTCCTGGTACTGATTTCTGTTAAGAGGCTGGGTGAACCCCAGGGCCATAGTGCTGCTGGAAGGATTAGATCAGTTGAAAAAATTCAATGACCTCATTGGGACGTGAATGCGTGACCTTCCAGTTTGTAGCATAGCCCCTCTAATGACTCTGTCTACAGCGTGACCAGAACACCCATTCAAATGAATGATTTCAAAATTTGACTTTGTCCATACGTTAAAAGTATGCAGTATTCTGTACAACTTAGATACTATTTTGTCCATGGAATCCACATTTAAACGCAGCTGTCTGAAATACATCTAGCATTATAGCTGACATGGTATGCAAAACGGGTTTCCCAGTCTTTACAGTTGGTTGTCTGATAGCCACTTTATAACTTTGAGAAAATAATTTAGCAACCATAATCATTTTGCAGCAATATTTCTTCTTTATTTTGATTTTAAATTTAACATTAGGTCACTGAGATTTATACTCTCCTGGCATTCCCCTAGATATACTGAGAAAAATCACAAAAAATCCTAGTGAGCATAGGTTGTGTCCTGACCAAAATTTCAACCAAGTACCTCCTGAATACAAGTCTAGAGTGTTACCACTATGCCAAATTGCCAAGTATTTGGTAAAACTGAACAAATTTTGTATACTCTAACATCAGATCAACAGCTGTAATTTGTAATTCCAGTTGGGGTACACTGCAGCAGAAAATTTCAACAGAAGTTATGCCACAGTGCTTGTGACATTAGAAACTGCACCTGAAGTGAATCTATTAGAGACATCCACTGTTATTGTGTTGAGTAATGACACAGAAGATCCAATTCTAGGAGTTAGGAGATACAGATACATTGTCTTATAGAAATGTAATGCATATGCATATGAAATAAATTATTCAAATGAATCAAGACTTCCTCTTACTGCTGTACTTTCAATGATTAACCTCTATTGGCCATGCAATGCAATATTGAACTTCAGCATGCACATGGCCCAGTTGGTCAAGTACTCCATGTTAAATACAAATACGATTACCCCAAGTTTAAAATCTGGCCACTAGCTCCTTAGTACTGACAGATTTAAACTTCCCTATTCTTGGACAATAAAAGTTAATGTATTTGTTTATAAATAGTGTAACGTGTCGGCAAACCAGAGGAGTAACTTCTATGGAAACGCTACAATAGACCGTTACAGAGGAGACAACAATTGCTCCATTGTAATTCTAACAGGAGTCTCCATGGTTATAACGGAGGGTTCGTTGCCTAACAGCGGGCAAGGTTATAGATAGCCCAGCTTCAGCGAAAAACAGTCTCGGAATAGCATTCAAAGAAGTCAGTCGCGGAACAGCCTTCGGAGAAGAAACTTCGGAATATCCGTCTGAGTCCAGTATCGCCGGAATATTCCGAAGTTTCTTCTCCGAAGGCTGTTCCGCGACTGACTTCTTATACACCCAATACGTGACAATTGGTGTCAGAAGTGGGATCGAACTTTAACATGGGTCCCACAAAAAAAAATGGAAACGCAGCAAATGATGGAACCCTTGCTGAAGAAAATCAGCGCTGGCCAAGAAGAAACAAATATGATGCTGAAGGAGGCAGAAGCCAATAGAAAAGCCCACATGGAAGAAATAAAGGCCATGCAAGAAAATTGGAGGAAAGACAAAGAGGATATGCTGAAAGTGATGAGAGCCAACCATGATAAAGCAGACATGATGCTGGCCAAATTAGACACCTACCAAGAAAAGGCGTCGGCCGATTGGAAAGCCTGGGGGGAAGAGAGGAGAACTGCCCACGAAAAGATTGAGCCCCACCCAGAAGCGATGCAGTCCGTACTGGAGCATCGAGAGGTCC